GGAAAAGCTCCGAGTGGTCAAATCTTAAACGACATGGAGAAACTCACCAACGTCAATATTGCAATGCCTGGACGATCCTTTCACTTAAGGGCGTACCGAAGACGCCGGAAAATTACAAGCACTCGGTTCTGTTTCCGAAATAAGCTGATTCAACGCTGCATCCATCAGGAGCTTCTAAGAGCATTGGATTTTCGCCTCAACCCCAATGCCTCTGTGTCAGACGTCCGAACCCTGATTGAAGAAGCCCTGAAGTCGAGCAGGACTATATCTCGAGCGAATGATTCCATTTCGGGAAGAGTGACCAGGGAAGAAAAAATCCCAGTCCGGAGAATGATGTCTCGGTACTGGGACAACTCCACCCCGTTTGCTCTCAATCTCGTTGGTGCTGTCATTCGCCAGGGGGTCTTCATCGAGAAAATGGATAATATTGACTGGATCCATTCACCCGCTCTCGATTCTACAATGCATCGTATCATTCGAAAATACGAAATTTTCTTCAAGATCATATCTGATAATCCTCGAGCAGTAGCCGTTCCAACCCTCGACGTTGATTTAGCATGGCATACTCATCAACTTTCTTCCCAACGCTATTTTATCTACTCGATTGTAGCAGCTGACGGAGTGTTTGTCAATCACGACGATAAAATAGAGGAAGCCAAACTATCTGACGGGTTTAAACGGACTGCCAAAGCATACCAGAACATCACTGGGGGCAAGGTATATAGCGAATGTACATGTTGGTACTGCGAAGCGGTTCGCGAGTCAAACGGCTCCAATGGGTCCTTTTCAATTGGCCGTGAATATGCCATCGAACTCCACGACCAACAAGGCATACCCTCCGACCCGGCCAACTCGCTACATATCTCAGCTCACAACTCCATTCGGGCTGGGGAAGCCCATAACCGCCGAACCGCCCAAAAGCAGTCCGTAACGGCTCTCAAGCTTCGATATAACTATGAAAAATCTCAGAGACGCTGGAAAAAGCGTAACAAGAAGCTGAAACATAAGGACGACCGCCCGTCTTCTCAAACTATCGACTACAGTAGTACGGCGATGGTATACGGAGTCCCAATCTTCATTCCATTCTATGTTCCCTATGGCCCGGATCCCTCGATTAATTGCGAGGTGTATTCCTGTAACCCGCTGTGTGTTGCGATCGAGGAGGGTGCGCCGGGAAATTGTGTTGGTGGAGCGTGCGGGTTTATGACGGCTGCGGGCGGCGCATGTCAAGCTGATGGCCAAGGGGGAGGTTGCGGAGGTTGCGGTGGAGGGTGCGGCGGATGTGGCGGGGGAGGGGGCGGCGGCGGCGGCGGGTGTGGAGGTGGAGGCGGTGGGTGCGGGGGAGGCTAAGCATCAACGATGTGGATGGAAGAGGCGCGGAGCGGAGCGGAGCGGGATTTCTTGACATTGGATAGTCAACATGTAATATTGATATGACACATTATTCCGGCCATTTGGGTTTCTGTCAATTAGCTACACTGATATATAGATCATTCAAATTCTGAATTTTAGGATGATAGTATGCATAAAACAGAATATTTGATCCAAGCGCAAATGCGTAGCTGTTCCACCGAAAAGCCGATACTTGAAGGTTCAAGGCTGAGAACAAAGTTCTAGTTATAGCAAGTCTCCCCAAAAGTTCTTTAGTCAAGGGGCTTTGCTAATTTCATCATTGCATCATTGCAACCATCAACGTTCCCAACGCCAACGCCTCACAGAGTCGCGATATTCGAAACATAGTACGTGATCGTTTTCCAACAGTAACCAACGAAATAGGCTAAATACATTCTCCAAGCAAGATATGTTAAAAGTAGTGATTGTGCAAGAGAAGAAAAAATAAAATGTTTATTCTATACGACACCTTGGGCTTCGACGCCAACAGAGTTATACGAGTATGGAAAGTCGACTAAACCATCCAGTATCCAGTTTAGAGGGTCAAACACTTCATACGTTGGTTCCAACAATCCACTGGGTAAGCCTCCCATGCCGGCCAAGTTTCCACCGGTGGAGGAGGATATATTTCCGATTCCTGTCGAAGGCGGTGGTGGCGCTGGGGCGAGGCTGGGATCAGAATTGGCTAAAACACCTGGGGTGGAAGTGGAAGTACGCAAGTGTGATACCGAAGACGATGAAGAATCCGGGCCGGAATCCGGATTTGTAGGATTTTTCAAATAAGCTATGATAATGAGGTTAGTCGTGTTTCGGCTCTGTTTAGAGATAGTAGACTTGCCTTCCAAATTTTTCCCCCGCGCCTGGAAATCTTCCCTCCAACGCCACACGGAATCATAGACAAGTGACATACTCATTCGGCAGCGAACCTTCAATCGTAGGGTATCATCCTTCTCTGATTGACCGGTTCCTTTATTTCCACCGTGTTGGGGGGGTGGTAGGCTGCCCATTTTCCATAATTGGGCAAGTACCTCTGCCAGGCGTTCGGGCAAATCATTATTGGAAACAGACATGCTGCGTAACGCCCAGATTGTCCGATTGAACAGCGATTTGGTGTAATCCATATCGATATGAACAGCAAAAAAGCTCTTACATAGTTTGAGCAAAGTAAAACCAGCGGCGAGGGTCATTTGATAGATGTAATTAGGGCAGTAAGTGAGGCCTGCGCCACCTGCAACTGTCGGCTCTAAGCCCAAAGCGGCTTCGAGGAAGGAAGTCGTTGCAACATAAAGTGATGATAGTCCTCGAAGATAGTTTTTTGTTGTTGGGTCGTCGAAGAAAATTGAGAGGTGAAGATGGAGGCCCAGCCCCTCGGAGATACATATTTGTAATCGCTACAAAGGCCTGGGTTAGCGGCATAAGTCATAAAAGAAAAAGGATGATAGAATAGGAAACGCGGAACGCACGGTTTTGTTCAGGATGAAGCCGGCTTTCTAGGTCATCGAAGTCCCGTGAGAGCACTGAAGTCATGACCGTTCGCTCCTCTTCATTCACCAACCCCACTGGGTCACGACGGCTACTGTAGAGTGCTTTCGTTACCTTGTCGGCAAACTTCTCTATATCTAGTCTTGATTTGATATCTGGAGGAAGTCTAAAAGTGGGCTCTATCTCCTCGCCAGAAGACAAAGTCCAGTCAAACAACGTTGACGGCGGTTGACCGTAACCGGTCGCGACCCTGGAAAATCAGTAAGCCCTGTTTTCCAGTTATCTATAGGAGTGGATGGAGTACCTTTGCGAGACTATGTTACAAATCGCCCACGTCCTGACCCTGTCCTTGAGTTCACCTTCTCTAAGTTCTACTCTGAACTTAGTAAAATCTTGTGAATGAGAAGGTCGATGCAATCCGATTTGTATCGCAATTTGCATCATCATCCCACATAGCATGAAAGTAGGATCGGTTGACGTGCTGTTGGTTGGGAAAGGCCAAGTGCAGAGTAGAATCAACGCCTTGACGATATGATAGCTTTGCGGAACGTCTGCAAGCGTGCTCCAAACAGATCGCATTACCGGACCAGAAAGAGCGTTTAATAAAACCGCATCACTCTGATATCGACGCGCGCCAATGCTTATGATCGTCCAGAAAAGCAAAGGAGAGGTGGAAAAGTAGTCGTCAGGTAATTTCTCCGGATCAAGAAAAGGGAGAAACGGATGATAAAGTGTAAAGAAGCTATATCAGCGTTAGGCTAGACACAATTGGCTAGTGATTGGAGGAAGGGCACACAAACCGGTTAAACAAATCTGCAACTTTTTCTGGGGAGATCGAGACGTCCTCTATTTTCTTTTGCATGACTACTTGCCTACTTGGACTACGCAAGAAATTAGAATCCAAGCCAGACCTAAGGTCAAGCAGTGATGCAACGGCTTCATGAGGTCTCATATAGTCATCTGCAACAGTAGCTGAACTTGGTTGGATGACCCGAGGTGTCGTGTTATAACTCATGGGTATAGGCGGTGACCCGTGATTCGACGTGGTCTGATGCTGAGAGAGATATTGCTGCGCATTTGCCGCCGCATTCGCATTAGCAATCTGTTTTCTCAGCTCTATAAGCTCCCGTTCCATCTCTGCATTTCTGCTGCGCTTTCCCACTCGCTTGAAACTGGACTCGATCTTGCAATCCAAGTTGAGTCGACGACACCTGGTGCACGTTTTGAAAGGTTCCTGAATCACGTCACAGCGTAGCTACCACGACCTCTGTCAGTACATCTTCTGTCGCTTATGGAACCAGAGCTGGACGGGCAAATTCACCTTCTGCTGGCGGCACTCATTACACGCCCGCTTGACCGGGGGTTTCTTCTTTTCTTCCTGCCCATCCACATCTTCTCCCCCGTTCGTACTTCCTGGTGAGCAGCTCTGCCCGGCGTTGGAAACATTGCGGCGTTTACCAATGTGAATTCCGCCCGTCACGCCGCCCGGGGAACCGCCAGAACGAACCACAGAGCCCCTTAACGCGTTGGAGACATGGTCGTTTTCATTTTCAGACTTTGTGGGTCGCATGTCTCCCGGCGTTATCCCCTTGTTGATACCTGGAGTCTCCTCCCCTGCACCACCTCCGACACCGCTGCCATCACCGCCACCGGCAGCAATGCCACTGGCTCTGTGGCTATTGCTGTTTGCGAGAGCCGCCACAGTGATCGCCGTTTTTAGAAAAGTCGGAAAGTGCGAATTGACGACGTGCTTCGGCGCGACCTCGGAAGACACCAGGGCTTCTAGCCTGGCCCCAGAACTGCAGGAGGCCGCCGCGGTTCCTAGGCTTGCTCCAACAGGCAGGCCCTTCCCCCCAGTTGTTTCACCTTCAGGGACCGTCCGGCGGTGGTCCGATTGCGATTGAAACGTAAAATCAACAGCCTTAACTGCACAGGGCCCTTTGCGCGTAGAGGCTCGTTTGGCTATGACTCAGTCCGATGTCGGTCGTCCACCAGACAGCGGACTGTCCTGATTGGGCCTAATGGGTCACGTGAATGTGCGGGGCATTTGACTGATTATGTAATGAGACGTCGAGTGACAATGCCAAGACCCCCTTCCACTCCGCTCCTCTGCTTCCGCCCGGAACAGCCCGCTAACAATTAAAGGAGCCGCGAGATCAATCTCAGGTTATTCTATAACATGCAGGCGGCCACCACCATCATGTCTTCAGAGTCTGTCAGAAATCCACAACGCAATCTTCTTCCCAAGCAACCACTTTCGAAGCCACCCAGGCAGGTACCTTTCCTGCTGAACCCCAGCTCTACAGGCGCAGAAATACAATTCCAACTGCCAAGCCATCTCAAGCCCGCTGGGACTGCCAAATTACAAGCGAAACGTGTACCGGAGCGTGAACTTCGTGTTATTGAATTCGATGCGTCGCGGATTCCCCAGCCTTTTCTAGACGGGGAAAAGGTGCTTCAGAGCATGATAAGTCTACGAACGGGGAAGAAAGAGGACCATGGCCATCAGTCAATGGTGACAAGATAAACGTCGATATCGAGGTCATAATTCAATGAACACTATTCCTCAGCAATACATGTCCGCCGTGTGGGATACGACTCAAGCTCTGGGATCTTACAAGCGCATCCGGGGGAGTTGTTGTGTGGTCGAAAAGATGATAAAGGCTTGGCTACGGTAGGGGGTTCGTACTCTTGAAGGCAATATCTTACACCGACCAAAGCCAACACACAGCTGTCGAACGGCATTACCGGAGAATGTTGACGCTAGTTTCGCAGATGGAAAAATTGGTCCTTCGATCGCCTATACCCCTTCGAGAGCACCCAGGTTTCTCGATTATGGAAATACCCGATATTGAGCTGCCTTCCCACTTTAGAGGTCTTCTATACGAGAGCGTAAGAGGAACTGTAATCACTAATGAGGGTATAGCCTTGTACTGTACATCCATAAGTGAAATGCACGTATTAGATCTTACCCGTTGGATGGAGCGAAACTCAATGATAGCTAATCGGCCTTGAGTTAGCGGTATCAAATGCTGTTTAAAGTCTGAAATTTATCTTATTTAAAGTGGAAAGCAGCTCAATCCAGTCGTTGCAAAGTCCGGTGCCATGCCTTGTTTGATATCGGGCGTGGTAGCAAGTGGCGACACGGGAATCAAACACGCAGCAAAACGCTAACTAATGAAAACAAAAATCGTTAGATAACCATTACCATCTCATAAACGCGGCCTAGCAAGCCATCACACATCAGTCGTATCATATGCCGTAAGTAAAATCGCAGCGCCTCGGAAACCCAGACAGAAATGCAAAAGGTCAAAATGACTCAACACAGCAAAGACTTCGTAAAAGCGGAAACGGGAATAGTACAAGTCTCATGGGTCGTAATAACGTCGTAGCATCATAATAGTGTCACAATACAACAGAGTCAGGGAGTACCTCTGTTAGACAAAATAACACACACAGACAAAAAGAAAAAAAGGGTGGGAAACAGCATCAACTATCAAACGCAGATCGAGGTGGTGGATTATATCTTCCAATAACCAAATTTGGGTCAACAGCCACCTTTTCACCTATCATATGTCGCAATTTATTTCTTTTCGCCTCGAGCTTCCGTCGCTCCCTTCTACGCCGAGTACGCGTCAGCCAATTTTGCAGTTCACGCACCGAAAGTAAATGAGGCAGAGCACGATCGCGGCCTCGTCCACCGGAAAGAGACAGCGTAGCACTGAGAATGCTGGTATGGCTGGCGTTTTTGCGGCGTCGAGATCGGTTCGAGACTCGTCGTATGAGGGTGAGTGGGCCTTGGAAGATTCGGCTTTGAGGTATACCCAGTGAATTCCCAATGTACACGTCTCCAATTCCGCCAGTGATATTTCGTTGTGCAGGTTTTCGCTGAACCGGCTCACCGTCGAGGTCTGAATCTTTGAAATCGTCCCAGAATCCTCGTGGTCGCCAAAACGGATGTAGTTCGCCGTCAATCTCCTTCCCAGCTTTGCGATTTCGAAACCGATAAACAGGCTGATTTGCCTCCCTGACGCTCGCATGGCGTTTGGCGCTAAAGCTATGGCGTAGCGAGTCCCATCGCCGTGCGAATCCATTACTGCTTTCGGTGCTACTCGACGGCAGATGATAATGTTGATGATTATTGCTTTCTGCCGGAGTTGGAGGGATGATTTTAAACACAGGAGGTTTCGGAGGGGCCCTGGGATTTCGAAGCGGGGAGTCGATGCACGGAGTTTCGATATCGGAATCCCTCACGGGCGTCCGAGGTTCCACCAGAATCACTTCTAAGTCTGTTGGCGAAGTACGCAATCTTTGCACTGCTTGAGAGTCCGTCTGGGGGTATTGTTCAACCACGAGGAGTGACTTATTGTTGTGTGCGAAGAAAGGTACAGCACGAGCCTCTGAGATTTCAATAGGGCCAGGAGACAACGATTGGATTGACGGCTGAAATGGTGTTTTTGGCAAGGATGGAGTCTGTAGTAGAGAGTCGTTACAATGGGTCTCAACTGATAGATAAATTTGGCCATTGCTATTTTCTCGAGCAACAATATTCTCGGGCTCGGGCTGTTCAACTTTTGGTGCAATTGGAGGGATGGATTGGTCATCATTCTGCTTTCCTCTTGTAGGTTTTTCATTCAGAAAAGCTTGAGCCTCCTGTTCTTGTTGATACCGCTGCAAATTATCCGACGTAAGTGAGGCTGTTCGGGACGGATTGCGGCTCGTGGACGCTGACAAAGAGGACCTTCTCACAGGAATTCGAGGTTGGTATATGGGGCCACACCGAGGAGCATCGATAGATTTCCGCCAACGGGGTTCAGATTCGGACATAGTACGTCGCCGTTTCGAAACGTCAAATGGTCGGGAAGGAGTCTGACCTTCAGGCGCTGTGCTTGGCCGACGGTTTTCGGGTATAGGGCGTGTCCGTGAGTGTTCCCTACTCCCACAGGCAGAGGATCTTAGTGAGGACCGCCGCTGAGGAATGACAACCACGGGTATGATTTCCTCTGCCGGTTTGGGTTTTGAACAAGTGGTGGTTGATGCCAGAGACAAGTTGTCAGATGCAACGCTCAAACGGTCTTGGTTGGTTATGCGAGTGTTTCTACGAACCAAGCGATGGCTCTGCTCTGAAGCTCGCGAAGTCGAGGTGTCGCGTGGCGGACGTGAGACCGGAGAGCTAACGGAACGAAGAGATTCGGCCTTTCCTGTATGGCGCAAGGTTTGCTTCTTGCGAGGCGGGGAGTCGATTATGACCGCCTCGATAGTCGATGTTGCGGATACTCCGGAAAGGTCGCAAGAATGTTTGTCACGATCTTCTATCGAAAACCAGCCGATTTCTTTTCCGAATTCCTCGATGGAGAGTCGATTCGTGGCCTTTTTAGCTTCTTTTACTCGTTCACGTAGAGATCTTTCACGATTTGGTTGGGAACCTAACCTTTTGCGCCGTACTTCTGCATCATACGTTTTTGGAGACGCCTCCTGACTTTTCAAGCCACTTCTATGTCTTTGTTTGTTCCTTACTTTTGGCAATTGGCTTGACTCAATCCCGTTCTCCTTCCAATGCCCTTCAAGTGAACCAAAATGATACGATTCCTTTGAGACCTTTCTTCCATTCACCGGTGGGGTGCTGTCAAGGGAACTCAAATTAGGGGATTGGTCAGAGTCAATACTGTTGTCATAACCTCGCAGTAGACAAGAACGTTCCGAATCAAAGAGTTTCGTTGCTTCCACATCATCATCTGAAGAAAACACCTCACGGGCGGTCTTGAAAGACTCTGCCTTAGAAGACATGGACGCGAAATTTCGAAACTGCGGAGGCCGTTTGTGGCCTTGCGATACAACTCGTGGCGGAGTGATATCCGGAGTAAGCAGATTTGCCTTGCGCGTTGGGGTTGCCTGCAGTGCGGGATCGGGGCTTTGTAGTTGTGAATCGCGGATGGTCGAAATTGGCGATGACTGCTTCTTCGATTCGAGTGATAGCGAAGGCGGTGTTAAAGGGAGGGCTTGCACGGGCTTAGGGAGAGTAAATCCATTTGAAAGAGGGCTCATGGTACGAGACCGTGTACTCTCGGCAGGTGAAGAAACCTCATCATCCTGGATTAAATCCCTTTTCCGTGGAAGTGCTTTATGAGTTTTCAGATTCGCTCCATTTGTCGGCATGTCCTTGTCCAAAGGATCCATTGTTATCGCTCGTCATGGGCACATACACTGCACGGAATCGTTGTACACCCTTTGGGAGGGAAAATGACTGCAAAATCGCGACTTCAGGAGCTGTAGTAATTATCGTCGAAAGGAAACGGCTAAAATCATGACTCTCGACCGGAGAATGTCTTGCAAATAGGTCTAATGCGCCATCACCCGCAATGAGGGGGTCGAACAGCGATTCCCTTCCGGTTTCTAGTATCCAGTCCAAATTTTGGTATCGATCGAAGCAGCGTCCCTCGAAATCCAAAGACAATATGTATATGCTTCCGGCGGATTGAGTAGTTTTCTGAATTCAACGCAACGCACACGAGCGACGAGGTTCGAGTTTCGAAAGACACGCGCGCGATGTGGGACGGTGACGGTCGTTTCACGGTGCGGATAGGGAGAGAACGTAAGTGGTGAACTATACAATATATGTCGCAGATAGCTGATGAGAAGAATATCAGAGAAGTGAAGATTAACAAGCCATATGAAGCTGCAATAAAAAGGACATGAATTTAGAAGTTCATGGTGGAGAAACGATGCTAATAACACAAGTTTGAAGATGACGAAAGCCGCTAATAACTAACACAAGACAACGACAGATGAGAGAAGTGTTCTGGGCTCTTGGACTGCTGGGGGAATGTCAGGATCAAGGGAGGACAAAAGGCGCAGTATGGCCGTGACTCGGTGAGCACAGTGTGAAGATGGACGGCGAAGTTTCAGCAGGCTGATTGGCAGTCACCAAAACGCGAGTTGAGTGAGCGGGAGCAAAACTGGCAAATCACCACCTCGAGGCACCAGGTCAGTAGTCCATGCTGTCCAACCTCAAGAGGGAAAACGCCAAACAGCAGATGAGACAGACCCTGAGACCGGCGACGAGCTGCATAGCGAGCATGATTTGGTCGGTTCAAGATGGCGAAGGCTATCGATTTCTATCTATTGGACAGGGATATCGAATGATCAAACTGTGCCCTGCAGCCGGATGCACGCAGAAGGGGCACGGCGTCCTTCTGCCTCCTTGCCAGTCATCTCCCCTCAAAGCCCTTTGGCAGTTGTCGACCTTCGCCTTCCTGCGGCCATCATTGGAGCGAAAACACGCCTTCCAAGAGTCAAGTCAAGGCCGCAAGAATTGCATAGCATTTGTGGTGTTTCATACCCCTGTGGTGCCGGCAGACTTTGTTTTCGACTGCAAGATCCATGTTAAATAACTACAACACTGACTTTGTTTAACAACCATGACAGATAGCATCCTCTTTGAAAGAGAAATTTGTTTCACTGATCAATCATCGAGGAGGGCGGGATCGTCCTCTTTGATCAGCCACGCCCGAACCAATGACGAAAGGGCTGAAAACATGGACGGCGTGACAGGTTCCTGTTCCGTGATATTTTCGGCCCAGCTTCACAAGAATCCCTCTCTGCTCAGGCCGCAGCCCGACGGGTTGCCCGGGACGCCGTCAGCACGCAGAGTCTGAATGAGCGCATGTGTGGTTGAGGCGGTGGAGCGAGGTCTCCAGTCTTCCGCCCTTTCACAGCGAGTCTTGGCCCGATGACATCGCCGGTCACCTGCGCCTCAGATGTTTTGTCAGGGGGACCTCAGAGTTGAGCGCGAGCTGTGCTCCATACGGAGTACGCTGGTTTGAATTTGGCCTACTTCAACTATTTAATTGAGATTGCGAGTTGCAGTTGTCAAAGATCGATAACTACGCCCCGAATCAGGTATGCCTTGGATACATACAATGAACAGTTTACATTGACGTTCTGTGGCTGTTCTTCGTTAAAGAGGTTCATTCCTGCGTTCATCAACTAATAACTAGGGTATCGGACGCATGTATTCATTTGTAAGCCTTCGGGCCAATATCGGCTTCACTCGGGCTCAATCGAGCTCGAGTGCTTTGGAGAAGCCATGATCCGAAAGCCACAGCAGGGGCACGTTCCAAACCATCATTAGTTATGAAGAACGGGGCCATTCGCCGCGATGTCATCAGAGGCTGAATTGAGCATCGACTGCATTCGCCCCTGTTCGTCCTTCTGTAGAGAGTGGGGCAGCAAGCCCGTCGATGCTTTGAGTCAGCATCTCCTCAACGAGTGAATCATCAGGGTTGCTGCCTTTGTATCGCTTCGGCCATTTTTGCTGCGCCCGGTACGTCGATGCTTGGAATGCTGCACTTTTCTTGATTCTTCCCCAGCCTGGTTAGCCAGTTCCATCTCCATCTTAAAAAGAGTGAGCCTTTTGTCCCTCGCTCGTCCTGTTGTGGTTCTTTGTTGCAAGCGAGGCACCAGCCCACCTCCTGGCCCAAGAACCTCTACTTCGACTACGTTGCACTTCTCATCCTCTCCAGTTCATATCTCTCCTTTTCCGTCTACAGTCATTTTTGCTTCCCTTTTGCAGTTTGGGGTGATGACGGAAGGCTGAACCAACGTGAATTGCCCAGGTCCCAACTAACCACCGTGTGTCGTCATACCTCGTTTGGTCACATTTCCAACTCTCCGCCTAAACTTCGACGCCTACCACCGTCCAAGAATCCAATTCCTCAACCCTCCTGAAAAAGGAACCCTTCTTGTGCTCTCACGAATCCCATGAGAACCGCGTCTCCATATCCGCCATGAGTACTATACAAAATCTGAAAAATTTCATTCGCCATGGGAAGCAGGCCCGCGCCGGTACCCCTCATGGCGAGCCGACCACCAATGTCACGGCCGTCCACGTGGAGCGCCAAAGACAGCCTCAGGCTCCCCAGCAACAACAGCAGCACGCCGGCCTCAGCGGGTTGGATCACAAGGCAGCACCTGCAAAGTATGAACAAAAGTACCAGCAACAAGTGCCCGCCGTAGATGCGAAGAATGGCAGAAACCATGAGCAGGAGATTGAACAAATCGTTGCCGAAGAGAAACTGAGCAAATCTACAATGCCTTCTTACCCAGGTTTGGAACGATGGATATTGCTGGAAAAGATGGGCGACGGTGCCTTTAGCAACGTCTATCGGGGCCCGCGACAGTACTGGAAAATACGGCGAGGTTGCAATCAAGGTCGTCCGCAAGTTCGAGATGAGCGCCAAACAGGTACGCGACCCAGTTCCTCCCACTACAGCCTCTTTTTCTCCTTGATAATACCCCCAATTCATGTGTGGAATCTGCCCCTGCCCCTTCGCCGTAAGCTCATCTCCTTTTCATGCAACATGCGCCAACATGACGTGGCGGTCCTGTTCTAGGGCGAATCTCATCTTCATCCGGGCCTCAGAAAGAAACCTCACGTTGTAGAGGTGAGCCACTAATACCTCCAGGGTTGGCTCTTTGGGTCCATTATGCTAGTGTTGCTTTTACCGATACCAATGAGTCAGCCCATCTTCGGTTGCTCCATTAGCTGACCCATCTATCTTTTGTTATGTAGCGAGCCAACATTCTGAAAGAAGTTCAGATAATGCGCCAACTCGATCATCCGAATATCGTCAAACTGATCGAGTTCTCCGAGTCCCGACAATTCTACTACATCGTCCTCGAACTGTGTCCTGGTGGAGAGTTGTTCCATCAGATCGTCCGCTTGACGTATTTCAGTGAGAATCTCAGCCGTCACGTTATTATTCAGGTTGCGAAAGCGATAGAGTATCTGCATGAAACATCTGGCGTTGTGCATCGGTAAGGTTTAGATCAGCTTTTGCTTCCAGACAGGGTACTAACACGTTGCAGTGATATCAAACCGGAAAACCTTTTGTTCTATTCCATTCCTCACATACCAACCAAGAACCCCAAGCCGCCTGCGCCTGGTGAAGAAGACAAAGTTGATGAAGGAGAGTTTATACCGGGAGTCGGTGCGGGTGGCATTGGCGTTATCAAGGTCGCGGATTTCGGTTTGTCCAAAGTCATTTGGGACAGTGAGACGATGACGCCGTGTGGTACAGTTGGCTACACAGCCCCTGAAATAGTCAAGGATGAGAAATATTCGAAGAGCGTTGATATGTGGGCATTAGGTTGCGTCCTTTATACCCTCCTATGCGGATTTCCCCCCTTTTATGATGAGAGCATCCAAATCTTGACCGAGAAGGTTGCACGTGGGCAGTATACCTTTTTATCACCCTGGTGGGACGATATATCGAAGTCGGCCCAAGATCTAGTGTCACACCTGCTCACCGTCGACCCCGACAAGCGCTACACGATCGGTGAGTTCCTTAACCACCCATGGATCCGCCAAACAGACGAGGAGACGTATGCTGCAGACGATGCGCCACCACTAGCCACCCCCCTGGCCACCCAGTCGCACCTCCTCGAGACACCCTTCTCTCTCACCGATCGAAGGGCCGATTTCCGGTCTCCTGGTGCAATCAACTTACGCGAAGTATTTGATGTCGGATACGCAGTCCACCGGCAAGAAGAAGAGGCCAAGCGAAGGAAGAATTTCAAACAAGGCTACCGCGGTGCCAATGTTGCAGGACAATACCGGGGTGACCTCAACCCTGTCGCTGAGGACTACGATGATGATGATTATGAAGAAGACGAAGAGATGCTTTATTACGACCAAGAAAACTACGCTGCAAATACATCTTCTCTCCCATCCAAGGTCCGCCGTACTGATGCTGCCGATGTAGCTGGCATGGAGTCGAAACTTCGCGCCACAAATTTGGGCTCATCTCAACCAAGCGCCGCGGCAAGGGCAAGACAAACGGCTGCCGGTGCAGGACAGCAGCAACCACAGCAGCGCAGACATCACCAACAATACCAAACTGGCGGGTACGGTCAGCATAGCGCCGCCGTTGCCGCCGCGGCGCGAGAAAATGCGGCACGCTCGGCGAACCAGCCGTTTGAACTGAGCTTGGACAATGCGACGTTACTAGAGCGAAGGGGGCGGCGGCTAGAAGGGCAGGCTGCTTCCTAGGCGGAAAGTAAAGCAAGAGGACAAAAAAAAAGAAGCAAGTGATTCTTATAGTTTCGAATCGCTACTTTCTCTGCTGATGGGATTTGTTGAGCGGAATACTTCGTTCCCCTTTTGCTTTGGTTTTTCCGGTGTTCGTATATTTGCATCTTGCGTGTGTGGATCTTGTATCTTGCGAGTTGGGTTGTAGATACCAGAGTATTCCTATTTTTTCATTCTTAATTCCTCGTTGGTGCTAGGGTATTGCTATGGGTAGTTTGATGGCATTTCCTTCTTTACATGGCAGCCACGGATATGTCGTCTTGTGAGATTGTATGTGTCAATTGTTTTCTCTCCAACAGAAGATAAATTGCTTGTTGAAATATGGGAAACCGACTCGGTTCAGCTACAAGAATCAAAAAACCAAGGGCCAGACGGGCCTTGGGATTTATTCCTGCGTCATCTTTTTCTTTTTTCCATTAAAAAAACAAAGAAAACATTGCCTTGATTTGATCGAAACCTGGAAAATGGGGGGGGGAATGCGAGTGTCTAGATCTGGCAAGCAAGTTCACTGCGGCCAATGTAGTCACTGTGCGCTGCCTGGGAAAGTCGTCATGGGCGCATGGGCCTCACAGTGGGATGGTTATACACTGACGTGCTCGCGCCTGCAAAGAATGATGTAGGAAGCCTAGACACGTAGGAACTAGACAATGGGACTTCTTGGAGGAATCTTTGGGGCAAAAAATGAACCGCAAAAAATGCGATTGAGCTGTGGTGAATGCGCGGAGGTGACGAACGGCATTAACTTATCTTCCTGGGTGGGCCCCTTTGTTTCAAAGTATTGCCAGAAACTTTTCGTATCTCAATAACTCTGGCACTCCATGCAAGGCTTGAAAACTGTCTAGTTGTCAACACACATTGCACCCTTTTCCAACAGTATCTAGTTTATATATTGAGTGAACAGGTGCAATGCAACTAACGCAGCCCTCCTTTACCTGTTCTCCCTTGGTCAACGTACTTAAGGGCTCCTATCCGGAAGAGGGGGGAGTATCGAACACAGATGCACTTCGCAAGCATAAGAATTCAAATGAAAGCGGTCAGACTATCATTGGTAGCGATTCGTTGACTCACCTTCTCAGGTAGGCATAGCGAGGATCTCGTCCTAAAATCACGGAAAAAGAATGATCTGTTTGTGAGTTCCAATCAAGCTTGCGATGTCGAGTCCTACGTCCATGTTGGTAAGATTGTGGTACAACATCGTTGTTTGTACGGAGTATTGGGTAACCAAACGCATTGGACTTGTCGTCGCAGGGTGGAAGTTCAAAAATCCAGCAAGCCAATCGACAACCATTTTATAGATTGAAGGGGTGATATTGAATGGTAGAGTTTGAAGGAATCTCGGATAGCTTAGGCGCAACTGACGGTTAACCGTCCGGGCAATAATGGGTGTTCAGCAGAGTTGGAGCAATTCAGCCTAAGGGCAAATTTGGGTGCCAGTTTCTCATGAAAAAGTACTCATACTTTGTCGAAAGTCCACGTTCATTTGATGTGTGAGTTCATGATGGGTTGGATCTCGATTCCTGCCAATCATTCCGGGTATGGCCATCAATTGCCGGAGCATCTAATGGAATGCAATGCAAGGCAGCCTGAACACCACTCCTTTGGGTTCAACGGGCGCAAGGGCCAAGTTTAAACTGACTAAAAAGCCATTTAGTCAGGGCAAACAAACAATCTTACAACTTGCTCCGGAGATTTAACTCGAGGCTCGAACTCGAGAAAAGGCGAGACGAACTCCAGTGGGCAAGTGAGCGATCCCAACGGAGCAGAAGCAAAACAACATGCAGGGAGACCCTAGAATTGGGCCAATCCGTGTGCTGTCACCAGTATATTTGCGATGCTGGTGCAACAAGGCAGAGGCACAGACATCTTGTCCAGTCAGCTTGCTCCACAGAAGTGAGCGTGGGGTCACAGGATCGAGGATATCGGGCAGATCTCCTCGGCCAACTGAAGGAGATATACTAGTGGCCACACTCGATTTCGAAACCGCTCCAAGAGATTTGCCATCCATGATTCCCACAGCCTTCGAATCCTTTCGCATGGGAGAGAAGATCTGATATCCACGAGAAAAGGGTGCGGAAAAGCAACGCTTGGCCCGATCAGGGTTAGGCCCGAGTAGGCGTGTGGCGGTAATAGTCAATACGGGGCGTTTGAGCAGCCGGACGGGGTTCTGCGTAAATCCGATCGTAACTTACGGTATTCCATTCGTCAGGCAGCCTGTGTGATCATCGCCTCAAACGGACACCCGATGCAACTGCAGGCTGGATCACATTACTCGCAACAGTCATGGTAGAGACCGCTGAAAGTGCTCTTCACCGCATTTGATTCCCGACCTTCTCAGAGGTGATAGAGAGAGTTTTTTGAGTGTCTCGCGCTTTTGAGGGCGTCTGGGGCTCAGAGTTCGCCGGATACCTATCCCAAGCGGGCCCAAACAGTGCTGCATTAGTCCTCATCGGGCCTAGCTTTGCGCTCGTCCTTACTGGCTCTTGGGGTTGATACGGAAATCGTACGGAACCGATAATTTACAACCGCCCACCTCTCTGCACCTCATCCTCCTCTCTTGAGCCTGACAGTCCGCAAGAGTCCTCCCATCAGACATCGTCAGATCCCTCCCCCAGCGGGCTCTCTCAATCCTTTTGATCCTTTTGAGACTATCATCCTTCTATATACCCTCCACGACTTACGACGCCCTCTCTCGTCCTTCGAGTCTGGTCGCCGCTTTTCTCACCTTCCGCACTGCCACCAATGTCGATCCCGCTCCTTTGATGTAGTTGGTGTTTTACACACGCCGTTGCCGTTCTCTTTACCGAGAGCCCGCTTATAATTTTCCACTTGGGAGAAGGTAGAAAGCATCTACCTTAAGGGAGGCAGAATGACTCCCAGTGACGAGACCCTTGCGGCTGCAGCCGCCATAATACAGGGGCTGGCCATGGATCTTCCAGAGCCCATGGCTATGCCGTATAACGGCCGCAAACCAAACCACCCGACTAATGGCATCGATACTTCGAAAGTGGTGCTACCTGGGGAGGCCTCTGAGGGCAAAGCCGCCCTAGAGAAAGAGCTCGTAGCTCTGATGCGGAGGCTGAATACGATGCAAACTTCTGTGGTAATTTGCACCCCCATTCAAAAGCCGCAATACTCGTTCTTGATGCCCTTTTTTTACGTGAAAGCGAATCAGCTAAATTATTATATCATCCCCCGTTTATATCTGCGGTTATCTAACTATCTTCCATTTTCTTAGCCCTCTTCTCGCCGGCCCGGACGGACTTCGAGCCTGATGAGTGCTCGTAGCCTAAACAACGGACAAGCGGGGGAATTCCCTGTCGAACGTAGCGGAGAAGTCAACGGCGAAGATAGTGATAGCGAAGACAACTACGAGGATAACATTACGTATTTGCGAAACCGAGTCCAGCTGCAGGCCGAACAAATTCAAATCCAGAAAGATATCATATCTCAGGTACGAGACGAGCTAAAGCACCAAGAGGAACGGACGCAACAGGCATTAGTAAAGGTCGAGCACGAGGATGTTGGTGTTTTGGAGCGTGAGTTACGGAAACATCAACAGGCGAATGAAGCTTTTCAGAAGGCTTTAAGAGAAATAGGTGGTATCATCACCCAAGTCGCAAATGGTGATTTGTCGATGAAAGTTCAGATCCACCCAATGGAAATGGATCCCGAGATCACATCTTTCAAGCGCACTATCAATACTATGATGGACCAACTTCAAATCTTTGGAAGTGAAGTATCAAGAGTTGCGAGGGAAGTAGGAACTGAAGGTATCCTCGGTGGACAGGTTCAAATTACCGGCGTCCATGGCATTTGGAAAGAGTTGACCGACAATGTCAACTTCATGGCCTCTAATTTAACGAACCAAGTTCGAGAAATCGCAACTGTCACCACCGCTGTCGCTCATGGTGATCTTAGCCAAAAGATCAAAAGCTGGGGCCAAGGTGAAATCTTGGAGCTCCAACAGACTATCAATACTATGGTAGACCAGCTTCGAACTTTCGCTACTGAAGTTACACGTGTCGCTCGGGATGTCGGTACGGAAGGTGTGTTGGGAGGCCAGGCTCAAATTGATGGTGTTCAAGGCATGTGGAACGAACTGACAGTCAACGTGAATGCCATGGCCGAAAATTTGAGTACCCAAGTCCGTGATATCGCAACGGTAACAGCTGCAGTCGCCAAGGGTGATCTGACCCAGAAGGTTAAAGCCAACTGCAAGGGAGAAATCCTGGCGATGAAAACAATTATTAATTCTATGGTTGACCAACTGAAACAGTTTGCCCAAGAAGTTACAAAGATTGCAAAGGAAGTCGGCACAGATGGTGTGCTCGGTGGCCAAGCTACTGTTCATGATGTTGAGGGGACCTGGAAGGATCTCACTGAAAATGTCAATGGAATGGCTATGAATTTGACCACCCAGGTCCGAGAAATTGCTGATGTGACAACAGCAGTCGCCAGAGGTGATCTTACAAAGAAAGTTACCTCAGATGTCAAAGGAGAAATTCTGGACCTAAAAAATACCATTAATAGTATGGTGGATAGACTCAATACCTTTGCTTTCGAGGTTAGTAAAGTTGCGCGTGAAGTCGGTACCGACGGAACTCTGGGTGGTCAGGCAAAGGTCGATAATGTTGAAGGCAAATGGAAGGATTTGACTGACAATGTCAACACCATGGCACAAAATCTGACAATCCAGGTGCGCGCCATTTCGGACGTTACTCAAGCTATTGCAAGGGGCGACCTTAGCAGGAAGATCGAAGTTCATGCTCAAGGGGAAATTCTCACTTTGAAGGATACCATCAATAATATGGTGGACCGCCTTGCCAATTTTGCCCATGAACTCAAGCGTGTAGCGCGTGATGTCGGCGTGGATGGTAAAATGGGTGGCCAAGCCAACGTCGAGGGTATCTCCGGAAGATGGAAGGAAATTACCGAAGATGTCAATACCATGGCCGACAACCTTACAGCCCAGGTCCGAGCTTTTGGAGAAATCACTGATGCCGCAACAGACGGAGATTTTACCAAACTGATCACGGTGAATGCGTCCGGTGAAATGGATGAGCTGAAACGCAAAATTAATAAGATGATTTCCAACTTGCGCGATAGCATTCAACGAAACACTCAAGCCCGAGAGGCTGCAGAATTGGCCAATCGCACCAAGTCAGAATTCCTGGCCAACATGAGCCATGAAATTCGGACGCCCATGAACGGTATTATCGGGATGACCCAGTTAACGCTCGATACGGACGATTTGAAACCATATCCCCGCGAAATGCTCAATGTTGTGCATAGCCTTGCCAACAGCCTATTAACGATCATCGATGACATTTTGGATATCTCTAAGATCGAAGCCAATCGGATGGTCATCGAGAGTATTCCATTTACTATGCGAGGGACTGTGTTTAATGCGCTGAAAACTCTTGCAGTAAAAGCGAATGAAAAGTTCTTGAATCTCACGTACCAGGTCGACAGCTCCGTTCCTGATTATGTGATCGGAGATCCGTTCCGTTTACGTCAAATTATTTTGAACTTGGTTGGAAATGCTATCAAGTTCACGGAGCACGGAGAAGTCAAACTTACCATCAGCAAATCGACGAGGGAGATTTGTCAGGATGAAGAATACGCCTTTGAGTTCTCTGTCTCGGATACCGGCATAGGCATCGAGGAGGACAAATTGGACATGATTTTCGACACATTCCAGCAAGCCGACGGATCTACTACGAGGAAGTTTGGTGGAACCGGCCTTGGATTGTCAATTTCCAAACGACTGGTGAATTTGATGGGCGGAGATGTTTGGGTAACTTCGGAATTCGGCCACGGTAGCACGTTCCATTTCACTTGTAAAGTGAACCTTGCGGATCAATCCCTTGATGTGATTTTACCACAGCTTTTGCCTTATCAGAACCACCATGTCCTTTTCATCGACAAAGGCGAAACAGGCGAGGATGCTCTAAGCATCACAAATATGCTTCGGCAACTTGCACTCGAGCCGCTTGTGGTCCGCAGCGAAACCCATGTCCCTCCACCCGAAATCCAAGATCCATCAGGAAAAGAATCCGGTCCCGCATACGACGTTATCATTGTTGATTCCGTCGAAACAGCACAAACCCTACGAACATTTGGCGCATTTAAATATATTCCAATTGTTCTGCTCTGTCCGGTGGTCTCGGTTAGCTTAAAGTCAGCTTTGGATCTGGGTATCACGTCGTATATGACTACACCTTGCCGGCCTATCGACCTTGGCAACGGCATGCTTCCTGCACTTGAGGGGCGTTCTACTCCTCTTACAATCGACAACACGCGGTCCTTTGACATCTTGTTGGCAGAAGATAATGATGTCAACCAACGTGTCGCCGTTAAAATACTAGAGAAATGCAACCATGGCGTGACTGTTGTTAGTAACGGCCTTGCCGCTGTCGAAGCAGTCAAGCAACATCGGTATGATGTTATCCTTATGGATGTTCAAATGCCTATTATGGGTGGTTTCGAAGCGACAGGGAAGATCCGTGAGTGGGAGAAAGAAACCGGCCTATCGCGGACCCCCATCATTGCGTTGACTGCTCATGCCATGTTGGGTGACCGGGAGAAATGTCTTCAGGCTCAAATGGACGAATACCTGGCGAAGCCGCTTAAACAAAACCAGATGATGCAAACTATTCTGAAATGTGCTACACTCGGAGGCCCGTTATTCGAAAAGGGCAAAGACTCGAGAATCGGGGGTCATCACTCATCAAGCGCCCTTAACATCGGGGGTCAGTCACCAGAAGCTAAACAACGTCCACCCCTTGAGCCGCGAGCACTTACAGCTGCCGGACGTTCAGCCATTCCGGAACCTGTAAGTAGCATCCCGTTTAGCTTCGACAGTGGCATCTAACCCTTACTTGTGAGCAGCATATTTTTCGATCAAACAGCAGTTGAATCCACTCGATCACCTCTTATATTTTCCTATATGATTGCCACTATAATTTAAATTTACCCTCTGTGCTGAGTTTTTTGTTCCTCGCCTTGGCGGAAAAGGGTTGGTCTTTTGCAGATATATATATTACGAGACTTCTAATTTTGCGCTATACCGGCCGTGTGTTGATTCGTGCCAATCCCCGATTATATGATCCTTCCGCTTTCTGAGATCTGTTGTGTTTTTAGTGAAGTTGGTTGAATGTCTTGAGTCTTCCTGGAGTGTACTTCTTGAGTCATCCTGTGTTTTGTTCGTCTGTTTGGAAGGCGTTTGGCGCGTGATGGATATCATGTTCGTATTTATTGTTTTGCATACCCCTCTCCCATTATCTTCGTTTTTCGGTATGGAAATGTGAAGGGTCCGTGGAACAAGAACTTGGGACTGGAGTACATCCTTGGCTTTTTTCTAACTAGCCCTCTCTCGCTTATGATGACGTTGGGCTGTATGGTCCACTTAAATCAATGTTTCTTTGGGAAGCAACCGTGACATATGCCGAGAGGGTTGCTTTGCAGCTTGACAAAGCTGATGTTTGATATTGATCCTGCGCCTGCGCCTGCAATGCTTGAACGTGCTTTGTTCTTTGCTATTTATATTTTGTTTCGGTTAAGGATACTGAGATCGAAATAGCAACCCTTCTTTGTTTTTGTTCGAAGCAGACGAGTTGACTGAGGTTTTCAACCTTGAGAAGCATTTCGGGATGCTTTGCTGGTTGGTTCTATCAACCTCTTGACCACTAGAACGGCTAGAACAGCCTATCAATTAATGCCCAGCTACTCATGCATACAGCATAACGCTCGTCCGTTGTTTAGTCCTCAAATCATGCCCTGCCTCGGTTAGGCATCAAGAGACCCGGATCCGACCAAATGCATCGTCAAGCGCATGGAACGCACGGCCAAAGCAGAATAGTTCCCTCCAACACGAAAAACTCGTTCTCAAAATCACACCGGAAAAGATATCTTTTCCAAAACTATTGTTATGCTTATGGCCCATTTTTGGGGTGGGTGAAAAATGTCTCAGGCTTTGGTCCGCGGAGGGCCCTCTTCGTAAGATCTCACATATTATGGCCCATCCACTTTAGCCAAACTTTGATTGGCTTGGTTTGTTGAGATGATTGATTGTGGCTTTCTGTGACTGGATACTGTTTGATACTGGTAGGATTTATTCTTCTGGGATGAAGAATGGGTTTCGTATTATTGGAGGTATCAAGTAATATTCGCACGCAATGTGCATAAGGGGCGCTATAATAGCAATGTCTCACTCGAACACCCACATTCTCGGAGGCCCGGGCGAATAAGTAAACAGACAGGAAAAGTGACATTGTTGTGTGAATACACAAGCCAGTTAAAATGTATGAAAAACTTCTCACGCTTCTCAGATGAGTGCGTGATATCTCAATGTGATTTCTACTCTGTTCAGGCGAGAATTACAAATCCTTGATGGATGTACAGAGTACATGCATACATCCGTGCTTTTCTCAATTCTAGATATTCCATATGAAGATAGCTCAAAGAAAAAAAGTATTCATAGGTGATATTTCCCCTCTTCACATTTCATCTATCTACCTAGTGCTAACTACTAAAACACCTAACAATCCATAAACCAATGTTTCATAGGGAGCGTAATCGACTTCCCAGGGTATAGCTCTATATTCATTAAGGACAGTATAATGGGAATCGTAAACCACAGTAGTATGCAAAAGCATGCCACGGGGTTGGAGAAGAGAGGAACATTAATAGGGCTGGCATATGTTGCAACATGCATAAAACAATAACTGAAGACTAGGTAATCTTCCAACAATTCATGTCGCTTAGGACGCAAAGAGAAAATGGAAATAAGAGGAAAAAAGGACTCCTTATAGACGAATAACCATTCATTTTGGGCATATGTCAATCATTTAGAAGTACTCCGGATACGGTGCATATCTCTTATGAGGGAGATTCGTCCCAGAAGTTGGTGGGTGAGTTTTTGTGGTGTGAGGTGGATTTACTCCAGTACCGGGGGGAGGAGAGTGAGGCGGAGGGGAATGCGGCGGAGGCGAGTGTGGAGGTGGAGTTTTTGTTGGCGGAGGGTTGACTGGAGGCGGTGTCTCTGGTGGAACCACAATGGTTTTGGTTGTACCGTGAATGTCAGTGATCGTGTAAGTTGAGCACCGCGGACAATGGTGCGGTGGTGGATTTCCTGGTTCTCCGGGAGGCGGTGGTGGCACCCCTGGAGGAGATGTGGGAGGAATGCATCCGGCTCCGCATTCGGTTTCCGTCACTGTCACAGTAACGGTAACTTGCGCAGGGCACTGAGTAAATGAAGGAGGTGGTGGTGGTGGTGGGGGTGGTTGATGACAATCTTCTCCTTCACAAGGCGGTGGAGGCGGTGGAGGCGGGGTGTATGTCTGAGTGACTGGGTAGCAAGTGGTTGTTGTATAGACGGACGTGGTGAGCCACGTGCTGTACCAGGTGGTGCCTTTCCCAGTAGCAACGGGCGTCGAGCATGGCACAAAGGTCGTTTTTGTGATGATTTCGGTCACCGTGGAGATATGAGGAGGAAGTGTCTTTGTCGTCGTCGGTTCGGGGCCAGGTCCAGGTCCCGGGCCACCCGTAGACAACGGCGGCTCGCTTGTCACACCTCCAGTGGGAAACGGCGGGTTCGGATAGTGGTGACGACCTGGCAAGCCAAGTGCCACTCCGGCAAAAACACCCAACAAAACCGGGTTGAGGGAGCGCATCTTGATGCTTCTCGATGATGGCCCCAAACAATTGAAGATCTGTTGTCCTTATCAAGAAGCGACTGTGATAGGTGTCGTTAAGAGGAAAGCGAATGACAGTTCAATGCGTAGCAGAGGTTATTTCTGCTAGGGAAGAAAACGACCGTTCCAAAACTGAAAGACAAAACTCGATGATGGGAAGGGAAGAAGTGGTGGAGGACAAGAGATATATATACAAGTCCCATTGTATATACTTCCTGCATGTGCAGGTACTCGTATGCGAGCAGCCAACCATGATGCCACGAAAAGAGGAACGGAATGTTGTCATCATATGAGGCTTGGACGACCAAAGCTAAAGTGGAACAGTGTCTTAACACTGGTTGACTTTGTCAATGGAGTTGAAGCTGGGAGAGGAGCCCTAATTCAACCGGTCATAAGGCTGTTCAGAGAACAAGAATAGAAACATCCTCCATGTGGACTACCTGGTGTTCTTGCGCATTGGAAATCAGGGCGTGACAACGGCCGGAGGAATTGGCACCTCCTGAGCAGTTTTGTCCATTTGGAGACATGTAACTGCGACGCTGCAAAGTCCACTCAGAGGCAAACAAAACACAAGGACATGGTGATGTGGGCCATATTGAACGTGGTTGACCATGGTAACCGCAAGCTAAGCCTGCACGTTTATTCTCCGAGAGCTTGCCAAGAACGGGACCATTGCGCTGGACGCCTCGTTAGCGACAGTCACATTGGGGAGCAGAGCGTTGACTCACCACGTTGGCATCCCGGAGTGCAGGCTCCGTGCGAGATGGCTGGTGGTGTGGCCGTCATCGCGAGCTTTTCGAGTGTCGAGAGCGATCGATCTCGATGGATGGCGTTAAACATTGCCGGATTGGGCCGTCTGACTAATGCGGCTGGAAACAATGTCTCAGGTAAAATACGGTCACAGCGCGGGCCATCGCCGCCAAACCCACGGCCGGCGTAGGAGTAATGGCCCGTATCATGCCCGTACCGATGTTTCCGAGGCGCTAAAAATAGCGAGTGGAGCACGGCAAGCCAATCCGGATCGATTGTGGCGTTAAGCCACGCTTAATGTAAGCTTCTCAACGACAAAACAGCTTTTGACAACGACAACAACCACTCCAAAGCGTCAAGAAGGCTCCCAGCAGGAGAAAAGTATGCTCATTATTGGGTTTATTGGAGAGTTGATGCTAATACGAGCAGGCAGGCCAGTTTACTATCTCTTCCGTTGTGCTGGTGCGAAACTGTGTATCTGTTCGCTTGAGCTTCTGTGAACAGTCTTTCATCGAAACCTCAGCAACGGGCCGTTAGGTGAAAATTGGAGAGAAGTTTTCCAGCCGAAGTACTCCGGGCAACCGGCTCGGTGATTCCGCTTCCATTCTTGCCTGAGGAAGAGGAGTGGGGACAAAGTACGGATAAAGTCCCGGAAGCTGAATCCCCAAGAATACAGCCTTGAAAATCACGGCCTGCTGCTTTTTTTAAAGCGCAACAAACCTTCTTTACACTTTGCAAATGAGACATATGATGTGATCTTTTGCGCCTATTATCAAATACCCCGAACAAAAGCCTCAAACATTTCTACGAAAATTATCTTCTTTAGCGAGGAGAACAAAATTGTTTTTGGCATGCAAATAGAAGTCTGGTCCTATATCAGCCGAGGGCTCAACATTCTTGATACGTCTACCAGTGTGAAGCCTAGTTGGACACGAATCACACAACCATATCTGCGTCAAGGCAGCCCAACTCCTCTGGTACTATATATAGATAAGCAAGAATACCCGGGCAGCTCCAAGCCTTCTCCAGGCCGCACCCCATTGCCACCGTTCAGAGATTCATTCGCTCGAGGACTTTATTTGTGAAATCCCAAAGCAGGGTGGAATAGTCCGAACAGAATGAAAGCCCAGTATAAAACGTGTTTTTGTGACCCTGCAGCGCATATAAATCTCGATAAAATCCCCCCCTAATTGCCTTGTTCGAGACAGCCAGGGTCAATGGTATATGGCGTCCCCAGGCGGCGAGTTCGGGTCTCTTAATCGGAAAAGTTCCCGCGGCGCCCATCCGGTCGATACCACCAAGAATGAGCTGCTTGGCCTCCGACTCTGATAGTTCCGAATCGCCGACGATTTTAATGGTGTGATAACCGGGAACACCCATAAAATCCAAGTGCCACACAAAGGGCATCTGTGGAAGCTGAGCAGGTTTTGTTGGGTCCAAGTTGATAATGTTGGAGGTCTCGGGGAGGCCACTGTTTTTGACAAATTCCGACATAATAGATTTGTCCACAGCCATTGCTGGAAAAAGTGACCTTTCTCTGTTGTCAATATCGAAACCTTTCAAGGTTGCGAAGAGTAGGAACCATGGTGACGAGCAGTTTCTTAGCTCTGATCTGTGTATACTCGTTCTTTGTACGCACCAGGACCACAACTCCCTGCTCGGAACGGGTGACCTTTATAATCCGGCTGTTATAAATGACATCTGACCCCAGGACTTCGGCGGCCTTCTTATAAACTTCAGCAGTCCCACGTTTGGCTCTGACATAACCTCTAAAAAGCGCGTTGATATGCGGCTGTCCAAAAAGCTGGAGGACATAGAGAGTGGGCGCGGCCAACATGTTACCTGAGCCATGTGCGAACGTCCACGTTATAGGGAGTGCGCCCTGCAATTTGTACCGGTCGATAAACTCTCCGAACGGCATCAAAAGCTCATCTGGGACACGGTCCGGCAAGTTGAAGCTTCCATCGGCGATGCCTCGAAATTTGGAAACTGTCGCAGAGTACAACAGCAATGCTGCCGTCACGTTGATTGCGTTCCCGTCGAATTTCACTTTTTTCCCCGTCCGAAAATCAATGTAATGGTTTTCAAGTGAAGCCGGCAGCAGTGGCTCGTGTGACACATTGAGTCGCTTGAAATACTTGAGTGTAGTTTCCGTATTGAAGAAGCCTTGAACTCCATAGTCGACAGGCTTGCCGTCCACGTACAACGTTCCTATATGTCCACCAAGGTGATCGTCACGCTCGACGATAGCAACCTTTTTTCCCTCGTCTTTGAGCTTGATGCCGGCATATGTGCCAGTCGATCCACCTCCAATTATGCAGATGTCCGCGGTGATGTCGTTGATTTTGGCATTTTCAATCGAGGAGTTGCTGGCGACCGTGGTTTGGAAGAAGACAAGGCCAAATAGCGGCAAGAGCCTGATCGGTACGAATCCCATCTGAGCTTTTATAGAATGACAAACAGGTTGGACCGCTGAGAAGACTTCCCGTACAAATCTCTTGATCCTTACAAAGCGGACAAGCAGGGCGGGTCGATCTCAGAATTAATACTTTATAGATGTTCTCAACATCACAAGGCACTTTTAAACAAGTCATATTCGTATCACCACATAGAAAAAAGGAAACATATCAGCAGCCTTGTGCACGTTCGGCAAATCATCAGCCCTTCTCTTCAAAGCCATTGGACGGGCGGGAAAGCTACAATTTTTGGTTCGGAATTGACAACCAAATGCACCAGAGTTTTGCCGATCGACACATGCTCAAGTCGAACCGGCGCCGGGCATAATTGAAATGTGCACCACGATCACCTGGCGATTTGTTCATTACTCGAGGGCACGGCGAATGATGGAACGATGCGGCCAATTCCAACCTGGTGCAAAAGGTGCAAGAATGTAATCATTTGCCACTCGTTACCCAGGCCCCTTGATGAAGGGATGGAAGATCGGCGCTCTGCAGCGGCTGAAGAAGGTTTTGGCGGTAACTAACGAACTAATAGCTAATAGTCGGCGTCAAACTGGAGCCCATCCCTCCCAAGAGTCAAGACCATGTTTTCTGCGGATAAAGACTGGAAGGCTGCATTTTCAGTGAAGGCACTTCAGTTTAACAAAGGGGCTTGGCGACAAGGACATCCGCTTCCGGTCCCAAGGCAGTTCCCGACTCCTTGATCCCCATTGAATCAGCCAACAAGTCCTTCAATTTTCAGGAGCCAAATACGAATGTCAGCTTGAGATTCGTTTCGTAACCATGGAAACGTTATTGCGAAGCATCCTTCTCACTATTAATCTTCTAGTGACTACGGAACAGCCTCGTCATTCAAGTCGCATTATGATAACTTGGGCACATCATAGGATCTGCAATTTGAACGCAGCCATGAGCCCATGGAGGGAACGCTACAGGCTACAACTATATACGGAGTACTGAGCACTGTCAGTTATCTCGTGAGTATTCAAATTCGCGCATATTCATCAACTAGTTCTCCAGACTCCCGGCTGGAATTAGACATATGCAAGAGGTTGGCAATTGGGAATTCACCAACCTCCTACGTTACCCATTGCCATGCCTATACTAGTTACTAACTACTACATAGCGAAGTATTTTATTTTCAGCACCTCAAGATCCGCCTCACTTCTCATGGGCCTTGGGGGCCTATGCGACACACCCACATTTTCATCGTGAACACTCTTCCAACTGGTGAGAACTCTGCCAGTTTACCCGACAGATGATTGGTGGTAATGTATATCATACATCACCACAACTATTGGATATATGTTCGGGATCGGCCGAATGGAAGACCATGTGAGAGTACACTTGCCATCGATAAAAAAACTTCGGCTCCGCAACGTCACACGAGGCTCCAACCTCGGGAGAACGATGCCATCACATAAATCTCTGGACCCAACCCCAAAGGATATAGATGCTAGACTTCTTGATTGGCATACCGGCATGGCATACTACTTGTTATTGCTATTGCGGTTATCTTTAACCCATTGCTCGCTTCTAGCGTGTCTTTGGCCAAGGGGAGTTATGCTGGTACTTTTACTTCCTGAAGCTCTGATACGTCTGTAGGCACTGGATCCGAGGAATACGGCGCCTGAGCTTTTTTGGAACCATGGAAGATAATGGCAGATGGGATATCAAAGACGGAATGAACATTTGTGGCCTAATGGGCACTATATCTACTGTTCATGTGTCCGCATCACGTCTTGCCAATAAACCCGTGGATGGAAGTCATGTAGCTCTCCGCTGTGCATGATATTCCCCAGTCAGTCAAACATTCAAACTCTGGTGACATATTCCCATTTTTAAAAAACTGTTTATTTATAGCTACTATATAAAATATTATTCTACCTAATCATCAGAGCATAGCAACCGTATCCCATTATCTTCATGCAATATATGAAAGCCACAGCCGCATTGCAACATTCAAGCCAGTTTTCGCCGTTCTGTTTGCTATTCATACTCCGTAACATGCACTTTTTATTAGTTGGACGTGTCATTATTGTAAATATTTGTTCTAGGTTTGCTTTTCTAGCTTCCTTTTCTAGTCGTACTGTCTGAACTGTGCTGTCATATGTTGAGGTGTGTAGATCGTTCGTTTAATCGATAGTCAGGGGGTTCCATCCGACCCGAAGGACTTTAGCAATAATAAAGCAGACAAGCCCAGCAAAGTAGCAACAGCTGGTAAACGTAATGAGGCCCCAGTAATCGCCGCCATTACGGGTTAGGATCGAACCGGCAATAGGTGTTCCGGTCAGGGTTCTGAGTCATTCACAGTATCAGCACAATCAAGCAGATACAAAAAAGTTGCGAGGGACAGGACAAAAAGAAGGCTTACCCAAAACTGACAACAGTATATGCCGTTGCATAATATCGACCATAATGTTCTGTTTTGCACACTTGCCCAACGCAAACCGGTGTCAAACTAATGTTACTACCGCTGGCAAACCCGAAGAGTAGCGCGTAAACAATCATCATGGAAATGCTGTTGCCGGCGGGTAGCCATAAGCAGGCGGTAGTTAGAAGGCAGAGTAAAACGGTTGCAATCATGGTGTTGAACCGTCCCATATAGTCTGCAGTGAATCCAGGAATCCATCGACCAAAAAACGAGCCGACGTTAAGAAAGGCGAGTAATTGAAATGATAACCCGCGCGGCATATCATGATAGAGGGCATAAGATGTCATGAAAGTAATTGGGATGAAGAGGCCCCATTCAATGAAAAATATCCCCGCCGTAGTAAATGCGAATACCGGTTCCATCAGGATACGTAAATCGGGAAGAATATTTTCCTTAGTTGCACGTTTTTTGGGCAATCGAGATTTGATGAGGATGCAGCCAACGGTCATGGTGACGAGAGAGACCAATGCCACAGCGCGAGTGGCCCATGCAAAGCCTATTTTAGGATATAGATTGTCAAGCATGAGAGGATAGACGATTCCTCCCACACTCCCACCGGTCGCGGCGAGACCAGTGGCACGGCCTCGTAAACGGAAAAAGAAATGCCCGGGGCTGGCGACTGCCGGCGTAAAGACAAGTGAGATTCCAATACCTCCAAGGATACCATAAACGAGCATGAAATGCCAGTACTGCTGACATGAACCCAGAAGAGCGACGCTAAGAACGCATGTAATTGTGCCAGCAATAACAAGCATCTTGGGACCTTTAGCATCAAATACGGGGCCAATTTGAAGACCTCCAAAGAACATTAGAAAGGCATAAACGCCGAATATCCAGCTAATGGAGCTTTGGCTGTAGCCCTTGAGCTGGTTGGCGGATATCCATGCTTGGAAGGGATCCTATGGTGTTTGCTAGGCCGAGGGAGCCGAAAAGCGAGAAGAAGCTGCCTACCACGACCGTATAGGGTTTCCCATCCGCCTTCAGGGTATGTGTTCCCCTCCGGATCTGTGGACATTTCGCGGGGCCAATGGCGCACCCCCCGTCGGGGCCGGGCATGCTGGGGTAGAGCGCGAAACGAGAAAAGTTGGGCATGCATTGTCCTAAGGTTTTCCGTGGGCCCATCTTTCCATAATGGTGGTTCGTTTCGGGGAAGGGACTTTTTCCTCATCGGCATGGGTAATTGGCAGGTATTCCAAAAGGTCGGTAGATGCGGCTTTGGGCGTATCGGTTTGCTTCTTCTCCGAGAATGACGAGTATGACGTCGAAGGGAGATTGTCCTGTGAGCCCTGCATATATTGAGCTTCGTGCTGTGCGCCTTCAGTTGCAGATACAGCAAACCCACGTTCAGGATCAGACGCCATGACACCAGATTTCCCCGCCAGCCCTGCTCACCTGCATCCACACTCCCCGGGCGGACTGGGCTTCATGCACAAGTCAATTGACAGCACTGGTCCAGCTGGTAGAACTAGATGGAGTAGATCGATACGTTTGGTGTCTTGCGCTGTATGTGGACACACTCATTAATATTGACTTGAACCGAATCCGTACTTGAGGGGACCGCACCTTATATCACGCCGATTTGTCATGTTGCCGCTTTTAGGGCCCCCAGGCGGCCTTAAGCACCGGCTGGGGGGCGCCGGACCCCCCAAATTCCGACCTCGGGAGGCCCATTGGCCCTTAACGCCAGCGCTGCGGGGATTGATTTTAGGCGGTGCCACTTGGTCACCCTGATCGTCAAACATTTCGACGCATCCGTCCCGACTGCAAGCGAGAATCGGCAGCAAGTTTGGCGACGGGAGTAACAGGCGATTCCGCACTGGCACGAGCCAGCGGCAGCGGTTATCCGGGCGGAATTCACGAAGATGATACCTACTAGCTGGTTAACGTGACTCACGCTTTGAACTCGCTATTCCGTTCGGATCGGAATGCTTTCTGTCTTGCCGCTTTAGAGTCAACTCCGAAGCCTCCTCAGCTCCGAATCTCTCATCCTCCCAATAACTCACATTGTTGGATTTCAGAATTGTAACTTCTTCCATGAGCTCCGGCACGAGCCTACTTTTGAGAATTCATTTGAATATCGCAGATTTTGCCCTTGACTGAAACATAATCCCGATCCGATTTCATCTGCGCTAGTTAATGACATCGCTGGACCTCTTGCTTTCCCCGCAACATTCCACGACAGGCCAGGAAGCGGAGTTACTGACCTATCACGAATCACCAAAGTTATCGAGTTGCATGGATTTCGCGAGTGATATCGGTCATTTTCTGACGGAAGCCAATCCTTGAATGCGGAGATCAACGAAGCGGCGGCGAGGAAACGATGTGAAGCTGCTAAAATTTCGCGGCTGCCTTTGACAACTGCTGATCTTGATTTTGAGATGATGATTCGAATTTCACTTGTTGCACCTATGATAACTGTATGATGGTCGGAATAAGGCACCGCCGTCGAAATCGTTCGGCAATACGTACACATCTCAACAGCCCACGGGGAGTCTATCGTTGATCGAGGTTCGAAGAAGACGAAACCAATGAGCGTTTCCGGTTCTCCCTCCTATCTGAAGTTCTGAATCCTGCGAATGTGGTTTCGCTCCCTCCGGCTTGACTCGATCTCGCGTACCCATCAACGGAGAGTTGATTTCTGCAAACACCTTATATGATTCCGGTAATCTGGTTGTTGAGATCTTTCAGCTGAACATGAAGATCCTCTTGCAATCAAAGGAAGCTCTCAGCAGTGTCCTGTTTCATAGCGGAGCTCGTTCACGACAAGGTGCGTTCGTTCCTCCCGAGGCTTTTACCCCTGATTGGGCTTGATATGGCATATCGAATGTTGTATGAACGGATGCGAATTGGAAATTGGAGAAGACTGAACCATAATGAATGTCGCGCTGGGCTTTGATATTTATAGTAAAAAGCTTTCCAGTTGTGGTATGCCGAGGTATGGGTACTTGTAACTCACTCTAGTGAATCTGCACGATCTTTAAAGGTTTTGAAGGGCGTGAAGAAGTGTCTGGGAGCCTCTTGGCCGTTTGACACGTCTCGCGGACGGGGTTTGGGATGATTGTACGCTCGATGAAAAACCGTGGGTTCTGCCGTTCTGGGACTTCGAGAAACATATGACGTGTCTTCGCCTACCAACCTTCAGCCAGCCATTGGACTCTCCGCATGCAAGCGGTAGAGCTATTCCCGCAGGAGATGCTCCAAAATCAAAAAGAAGAACTCTCATTAGCATAATGGCCTCCGCTCGCGCTCACAGACTGCGCGAATATATAATTTCTTTTCTTCCAAAGCTTGCTGTAGCTCAGTCTGCTGTCACAGACTCACAGTGTGAAGGATGCAGCAGGATGTATAGGCGAAATAAGAAATACAAGAATTCGTGCTTATAGCTAAAGGTGCTATTCGTAAGTGACGGTCCACAATGAGTATATATAGGGTCCGTAGTAGTCAAAGGCCAACCCGGCTCCTGTTGTCCTAGACCCTGGCAATTGTACATAGTTACTGAATTTTACTTTCAATACCTAAATGAAGTAGTTCAGGGGCATGATTCTTCTTTCCCCGCCAGATCATATCGATGATCTTGGTTGTCATGAATCACCTGTGCCCAATTCATTACCAAAAGGCCGGTTCACGATATGGACAACTGGACAAACGCAACGAATCCCCAACCCTGCAATAATAGCTATATGACGTACTCCGTCGCACCAAAGTGCTTGACGGGTTGTTATCACCACTAAGCCCCCCTAGACTTCCAGCGAAATTTGCCGAATGGCCCATCCGCAAGCGGTTTGAGTACAATATGGAGCACTCTTGACTGAAATGGCTGAATCTGTGAGAAGTGGCGCGGTGCCTGATCCGGCGCCCTGCCAAGCTGTCCGCGGCACTCCAGCGGCCTTGAAGCCATGCCAATTTGGGGAAGGACAAGATGCGGGGAGCGCGGGGACTGCCAAGACGAGCGGCGGTGGGCGGGCTCCGCTTGCATGTGACCCTCCGCGCCATTTGACCAATTGCCGCGCGGTTCGCTGGCGTGGGGACGGGGTCAAACCAATTTTCATTGGCCAATATGCTGGAAATGAAAAATTCACTGTGTTCTAGTGTGGGTAATTGGCTCGGAATATTCCATAGCCGACCTATCACCGCTGAAGCTGCTAGATTAACTTTCCACCGCGCTCAGTTGCACTCACGCTATTCCCGTCATCACTCACAATGCCACCAGAGGCGACGTCGATGCTGGAAGCGATGGAACGATTCACTGGCTTCGGATTCTTCTCAACCCTGGCTCCAGGGTTCGCCACCTTCCGGCTGTCTTTGCACGGTGACAAGGTCAGCCGCAGAGGCACCAATGCTTGGAAAGGATCGTCGCTTCCGTATCGTGTGCCACCCACGTCAACTCGCATCTCCGGGGAGCCGTGATGGACAGGGAAGATGGGGAGCTTTCATAGGCGCACATGCCTGATCGATCTCGCCGGGTACGACGAGGATCATTCTTCAACCCTCCCCGGCCGCAACTGATGGCTGCGCAAAGACAGGACATCGCAGCATAATACGAGTCGATGGTTGTTCAACTCCAGCACTACGATCCCCCACTCCCCACCATGTCCCGCTCATCCTCAACCATGTCACCAATGAGGGTTTGACTCTTTGCAAGGGTGAATTGGGTTCGTTTTATCCGAAGGAAAGAAAATTTGACTGCTCGATATCTGCTGGGCGTATAAAGGAGTAGCTCTTATCTCTTTGAGAAGCCGTCCTGAAGGTTTCTTCCGGTCCATTTTCAACCATCTTGTCCTTTGATAGCGACGGGAAACCCTGACGATCTCCCGGCAGGTCGATTAACCAGTTACCTATGTACGGTATCTGAGAGACAGACAAATTTGATCTTGCTTCGTCCATTCCTCAACTCGAGTGCGGACAACCCTTGCGAGTGATCTGGAATCGCACGAGCGGATCTCACTCATTGGCGAGCTATTTTACAAGTTTTCTCTTTCTTGCGCCCAGAGCGCAGTCCACACAGCTTGGTACAATCTTTTGCCAATCGCAAACGACTCTCCTAGACGTAGTCATCCGTATCGTCTATACGCATATTTACTTGCCGCGGGCAAGTTAGAGCGAGAGATCCTCAAAGTCCACTACACTGGATTTTACAAATATCTCCTTACCCGATCGCAACTCGCCGCTACACATACCCAGCCGCCATGCCTTTTTTTGTGAACCCGTTTAAAAAGCACGATGCCCCGGAATACCCAGGGGTGTTAATCCCTCTGGCCGAGGAGCAAAACACGCAGTCGCCGGTCGACGATGACAAAAACCTTGATGCAGGTTCGGCAGAAAAGGGGTCAATTCAGACCACCCGTGCTACGACGTTAACCATCGAGGCACTGAGAGCAGAGATCGAAAATGACGTGTCTGTATCTGGCCACGAGAGCGCATATGATCGTACGTTATCACGTCCGCTAGTTATCATTCTATCCGGACATTCATTTCTGGAAATTTCAACCTCGAATCCTTCTATCTGATCGTGGAAATTGTTTAAACCCTCAAACGTATGATGATCTAATATATGATATTCAGGGAAATCCAAGGTCATTAACCGGGCTATCCAGGATATTGGAATGGGCCGATACCAGTGGGAATTGTTCGCTTTGTGTGGATTTGGTTGGACCGCAGACAAGTGAGTAGAAAAATTAGCTTCTCCAGTGTTAAGGATTTGTCGTCAATTGATGCTAAATTTATCACCTAGTCTTTGGCTACAGGTACGGCTCTCACAGCCCTCGATTTCTTAAAGGCTAGCATTCGCTCACCATTGTATCTTACAGGGCGTTGCACTTACCTTACCACCGCTCTCCGCGGAATTCGGGATCAGTGAATCCCATGTACGATTCACAACCTGCGCGTTGTTCATCGGATTATGCCTCGGCGCAGTGTTTTGGGGAACCGCTTCGGATATCATTGGCCGGCGTTTGGCTTTTAATATGACCCTGTTTCTTTGTGGTGCCTTTGGCATAGCAGCTGGCAGTGGTCCAACATGGGTTGGGTGCGTCAAAAGCTACTGTCGTGTCACAGCGTTTTCTCCTTTGGAACTCTAACAGATATCCTTCAAACAGTGTTTGTGCCTTATTTGCTTGCTTGGGGCTAGGTGTGGGAGGAAATTTACCCGTTGACGGGGCATTATTCCTCGAGTTCTTACCATTCGCATCTGGGAATCTTCTAACAATGCTTAGTGTCTGGTGGCCTATTGGCCAATTAATCGGAAGGTATAGTTTGCAAGCGCGATGCTGGTATTCCTAGAAGTACCTTGGTAGCTGATATTTGTCCAGTCTCGTGGCGTGGGGGTTTATTCCCAACTTTTCATGCGAGGGCGATGGTCCATGCACAAGAGAAGACAACATGGGTTGGAGGTATCTCGTCTTTACGCTCGGGGCGATTACCTTTGTTATGTTTTTATGTCGGTTCTTCCTCTTCCATCTTTACGAGTCGCCAAAATTCTTGCTCTCAAGAGGGAGGCAGGCAGAGGCTGTGGCAACTATACATGCTATTGCATACAAAAATAAAGCGAAGACTTGGCTCACTGTGGATATTCTTAACGAAATTGGCGGCCATCCGGACGAGGAGCCTACCTCCCAGAAGTTGAGCACGACGGAAGTGATCAAGAGGCAGCTTGTGAAGTTCTCAGGAACCAGAATTGCTCCTCTCTTCGCAAATAAGCGCCTTGGTATTACTAGTAAGTATTTCAAGATAATTTGATTTTTGACTTGATATTAATTGGTGATGCAGCCGTTTTGCTCTGGTTTTGTTGGTCAACGATTGGAATGGGTTATCCGTTATTTAACGCATTCCTACCACAATATCTTGGGAATCAGGAGGCCACCCCTATAAATATTGGTGAGTCAATCCCATAGCACTTTATAGTCGTATTGTGGAAACTGAGTTTTGCATATTAGTCTACCGCAATTACGCAATTACCTCCATAGTCGGTGTCCCCGGATCCATCATAGCATGTTACACTGTTGACATACCCTACATCGGCCGTAAGGGTACCATGGCTATATCAACCTGCATCAGTGGCATAATTCTCTTCTGTTTCACCATTTCCAAAAACCCGAATGCCCAGCTTACTTGCACCTGCCTGGAAGCATTTTTCCAAAATATCATGTACGGCGTTTTGTATGCGTACACGCCAGAGGTATTCCCTGCGCCGAATCGCGGTACCGGGACGGGAATTGCAAGTTGCTTGAATCGCATTTGTGGCTTGTTGGCACCGATTGTGGCCATTTATGCTGGTGGTAACAATCCAGATGCGCCAATCTATACAAGTGGTGCACTTTTCTTGGCCGCTTTTATCGCGATGTGCTTGTTGCCGATTGAGACAAGAGGGAAACAGTCACTGTAAAGATGGAGTCATGGTGTCTTCCTTTGCAACGGCTTCTTCTCTTGCTTTTCGTCATCCACGGAGCCATCTGCTTCGATAAAGGAACCGGAGACTTTGTTGTATTACTGCCTTAGTGCTGAATTTCCTTCTGTGTAACCTATCTCCTTCTGGGGTGGAGTACTCCAGGAGCTGCTGTTGATACCCCTATTGCGTTATATTTGGATAGTGGCATGATCCAGATGCAAATCAAAACCGAAAATGGCAGGGCTTACGGCAATCAGAAAAGTAGACCCTTGTGCCAATTGGCAACATTAGTAAACAAATAGAAAATAAGAATATACTTACTCTTATGCTCGCAACAGCTTCCAGGGATGTGTGCAACTGAATGGATAAAGGGAGGCGGATCCCCAAACAATAGCTTTCAAGATTGGAGGGCCGACTAATGAAAATACAAACTTGTCACCCGATTGAATTATCCTCAAGCACGGAGTACGTTACAGTTAATGCAAGACTGTGACTCCAGATGGCCATTATCTAGAAGACCTGGTTCCTGAAACCTTGACGTGGATGCATTACTTTAGCGGCGCTACAGCCTGCCGGCGAAGATGGTTGCTTTGATGGCAGATATTTCTACTATAGATGAGGTCTATCAATTCTAGCATAGCTGACTGACTTAAGCGATTTTGAGTGGCATTGCATGAGGTCTTCCCACTGATATGAAGACGAGCTGGCTATTGAGTAAGGGAAAGGGAGAGTCACATGACCAGGAGGAACTTGCGTCTCTGGTCGATTTGGCCTGCCCAACAAATTTTAAGAGTCATCGAAGCACAGAGCTGCTGCACGGCCGTCAGCCAGTATATATGCGCCCGCAGAGGACAGTGACGGGCAACTCAGTCGTTTTTCCTTTTTGCCGCGGCCATGGCTTCAGATCTCACCCCTCTCGTTTTGGACGCCCTCGCTTCGACGAACGATCCAATTCTCTCCAGCGATGCTTTCCCCTCAGCCCCGCCGACGACAGTCAAGTCCGCGCTGGACCGCTTGAGTTCACGGGATATGGTACAATATGAAACTATAGAGCGGGAAGATGCGATTTTGTCTCCTGAGGCGGAAGGAATCGTCGCCAATGGCAGTCATGAGGCCAAAGTCTTCGAGGCTGTTCGAGCTGCCCTGGACGGATTGAAGATTGCTGATTTGCCAAATGTTGTCGGAAAGGATGCGGCTAAGGTCGGTGCAGGCAATGCGTTTAAGAAGGGCTGGATTAAGAAAGATAAAGACACTCTGAGAGTGGCAACCGATACTATCGAGGATACGGCCAGGGAGCAACTTTTAACTATTCAAAGGACGAAGACATACTCCGATGCAAAGGTTCTCGCAGACTTAAAAAAAAGAAAACTTATCACGATGCAAAAGGTGATAAGCTATAGAATAACAAAGGGGCCCAAATATGCCAGGGAATTCGTCAAAGAGCAAACCGATCTCACAGTCGAAATGCTCGCAGATGGATCGTGGAAGACTGCCAACTTCAAGCCGTACAATTTCAATGCTAAGGGAGCGGTGACTCCCAGTGGCGCATTCCATCCTCTAAATAAAGTGCGTCATGAATTCAGGCAGATTTTCTTCGAGATGGGCTTCGAGGAGATGCCTACAAACCGCTTTGTTGAAACCGGGTTCTGGAATTTCGACGCTCTTTTCGTCCCTCAACAACACCCTGCCCGTGACCTTCAGGATACTTTCTATATTTCAGATCCTGCGGTTGCGGATAAGCCACGCGAAGATCCAGAGGATCATCCTCATCTTTCAAAATCATTGAATCCGGTCAGTTACACCAAAACCGAATCAAGAGGAAAATTAGACTATGACCGTTATTGGAATGATATCCATGCTATACATGAAAGTGGGAAATACGGCTCTATCGGTTACCGGTACCCATGGAGTGCAGCTGAATCCCTTCGCCTTGTTCTCCGAACACACACAACCGCCGTATCAGCATACATGCTTCACAAACTGGCACAGAACCCCCGCCCCGCAAGATACTTCAGCATTGACCGCGTGTTCCGTAATGAAGCCGTTGATGCTACGCATCTGGCTGAATTTCACCAAATTGAAGGTGTTATTGCTGATTTCGGCCTTTCTCTTGGTGGCCTGATTGGCTTCATGGAAGTCTTCTTCGCTAAGATGGGTATCCATGGCCTTCGTTTCAAGCCCGCGTACAACCCGTACACTGAACCCAGTTTGGAGATTTTCGGTTATCACCCAACACTGAAGAAGTGGGTTGAAATAGGAAACAGCGGTATGTTTAGACCTGAAATGTTGGAACCGATGGGATTGCCAAAGGATATGAGAGTCTATGGATGGGGTTTGAGTCTTGAGAGACCAACAATGATCAAGTGAGTTTCGTTGGTGCCTCTGATACTGACACATTTCTAACATATTTTACAGGTATGGTGTAAACAACATCCGTGAGCTTCTTGGACACAAAACCGATCTCAATTTCATTGAATCGAACCCGGCGGTACGTCTAGAGAAAGAGTAGACGGTCCCTTTTCATTAGATAGCTATGAAATCAACGATTTTCATTTCCAGTACTTCTATCAGTCGATAAGCAAGTTTCCAAAACTAAATCCTAATTAATACACAATGCTCTCTGCCAATTTACGGAGTGAAAGGTGAGGGTTGTTTGATGGAACGGTTGGTCGTATAAAGATGGGTTATCAATGTCCCGCCCGTATCTGTGCTCTGACGCGGGATCTTAGCCGCCACAGCTCTTCAGAAAGCAGATTTATTATTCCGGCTGGATGTTTGAGAGATTCTACCTCCTCACTCATAGTGAAAGAGTCATGCCTATTCTAGGCATGGAGTGAGGAAGCCTTGATGTGCCGGTCGAGGGTTGAGCTACAATGTAGGTAACAGAATGAAAGGCAGGGTGATCAGGGAAAAGGCAGGGAAATGGATATTTGAATTATGGTTCCTCGTGAACGATTCGAACCAATACAAATCTGGCTAAAAGACTTGCAAACCGGGTCTATCTAGCGGCAAGGCGGATCGAGGTCCTTTTGAGGGGACTAGAATGTAGGTGAAGGGAGAAGAATTCGGAAGTGGATTTTTGCGATGCCCTTATGACTGTCGCGTAGAAGACTCCGAAGGGAACTAGAAATGGGTGTTTCCTTCATGAAACTCCAGCAGATACAGATCCCTTTGGCCCATAAACTTTCAACGAAATAATCTGTCCTCAAACACAAAAAAGGTCAGCGTCCCAAATCTCAATTTACGTCTCCCGGCCTTCTGGATCTTTTCGCCTGTTGCAGGGTGCACTTCTCCGCATACACCCGCTTATATTAAGAGTAAAAAGTAATTCCACATACCCTCATATCATTCCCTGAATTTCACATTCCCCAGCGCGGAAAGAATTTATCGCTGGGCGCTCGCGCTCCACACATTCTTCAAGAAACCATCCCGCTGAGCGAGGCGGTTGAGACTGTCATCGCCCTCTCCTCTAGCTCGCACAAATCCGCAGAGAGCATAGGTCTGGTTCTCGCCAGTGTAGCGGCCGTTCTCGTCAACCTTGCCGACGCTGATCTGCACGGAAGCGTGGTCCTTGGCCTTGATGATGCGGTTGGTCGCGCTGCATTTGCGGGGGACGTAGCTGTTTTTTAGGAAAAGAAGACGACCGTTAGTAAAAGACTCGAAGAAAGGTTTGGCAGTTTCTCTCTTGAGTTTCTTCAACTGCCTTCTTTTTTGTTGCTTGGCGGGGAGGGTTTTTAGACGGAGGGAGAGGGGACGTACAGATCGACGATTTCTCCCTTCTCGTTCTCCATTTTGGCGGATTTGTTGAATCTGCGTGTCGACTGTGGGTAGGAGGAGAGATTGGGATTTCTGCTCGGATCGCTGGCGAAGTGTGGTCGATGTTTCCGCTGGCTGTTGCGGTCGCTTGGATAGTTTGACGATGCGATTCTGATTGTGCGTCATGTGACCGGGGACCGAGCTTGGCCGTGGCTATTGATTCCGCGTGTGCGTGGAAATACACAATGAGCACCTCGGAAGCTGTCGGGTTTTGTATCTGATATCAAAATAACATTTCTACTCTAGACGCAAAATCCGTGGTATATATTAATTAATCTACAAGCAGATTCACAGCGCACTCTTGGTGGCTTTTTCGGGGAGAACTTCCTCTCTCCACCGGATTTCTACTTCCCTAGGTCCTTCTTTGCTGAAACGCACAAGTACGACCCTGTCTGTTTCTCCCTTCTTATCCGTGCCCTTGAGTTCCGGCCCTGGTTGGCTAAGATCTAGAATCTGTCTCCCATCAGCGACAGTACCCATTGGCTGAGGCGAGATGAACTTGTGAGTCCATGGAGGACTTCCAGAATGTGCAAAGCTAATCAAATCCTGTCGCCGTCTATTCGATTCTTCTACGGAGACCGCTTGCGGGCTGGTTCCGTCTGGACTTGGTCGATCGAGGTACTCAGCCACAAAGTCGAGGAGTAATACTTGCGGAGGGAACATGATGACGTCTTCTACCCTGGCGCGGCGAAGCCATTCTGTAGCAGGGAGGAATTGTGCTTCTGTAATTTCAATTCCTCCGTCTGTTGTGGGGGCTTGGACTTCTGTATCTCCAGCGATGTCAGAGATGCCCCCGTTAGCTGCCGGTAGGAAGTAAAGATACATCTGGGTTGTGAAGCGGCGTGGATTTCTCTGCGGAGTTATCCAATGTGAAAATGGCACGAGCGGATCTATTGTTCCAAGAATAGACAAGGTCCCAGGTTAATGACACTACTCGTCCATAAGATCTGAACATTGGTGCGGGGAAGGGGGTATGTCTAACCAGTATCAGGCTCCGCCTGGGGCTCCTGGGTTTTCAGCCATTGATCAAAGGTAGTCTCGTTCATATGAATAGCATGCCGTCCCTTCTCTCTCTCTGCGGGGTTGACATGAATCATCTTGCCTGTCTCCTTATTTATGGCAAGCAGTATTCCGCTCTCTTCAAACAGTTCGCGGATGGCGGCTCTGCGGTAGTGTATGCCTTCATCATGGCTATCCGGGTGACCGGCAGGAGGGAAATTTCCGTCTTGGCGCGATATTGTCCCCCCGGGAAAGACATGTGCAGAAGCAAAGGAGGAAGAGGTCTTGACACGATGAAGAAGCAGGACTTCGTTTTTCGGAGAGATCAAGATCACGCTACAAGTCGAACTATTAGCCTGAGTAGCTTGTCGAAAATGCAGGCGAAGGTATTCAATGAACCTAGACAGCAGACAAGCGCAAGTGGTTCGAGGAACCAGCTGCGCACTCATAGCTTACCTCGAGCTTGGCCTGGGTATCTTATAATCAATCTTTGCTTTTGATTTCGCCTTGGGCTCCATGATGCTTCGATACTGTGGTAGCCTGCGCAACGTAGAATACGGCGCTTTTTTAACGGATATATGAATTAGCGTCGTGGGTGAAATCTCAGCTATGCAAGGAAATTGGCGGTGCCGTCTGATCACAGCTTTTTGCTTCAGAGACGAGCGAGCAAAGGGAAACGAGAAAAGTACTTGACACTCCGCAACGGAAGGCCAGCGAGAGCATCCTTATTTGACGCCCAGGAGAGACTTCCAGTGAGCTGAAGTTACTTCAACGTTTACCTTGGATGATTCGCGGGGGAAGCGTTCATGGCTATTCCCGAGGCTTCTTCAGCAGATTGGTGGCGCGACGAAACGCGCTTAAAGTGGCCGAGTCAAAGGCTGAAGGAATCAACGATGTCTACTCCGTACCTCGGCCTCATTTATCAGCCGCGATAAACAAAACCATCGTCGCCTTCAGCTGCTCCAACTCTCTAAAAACTACTCAAAATTTATGGCTGGCCAGGGTGCTCATCAACAATAAAACCGCCAAAATGTTCAGCAATACCGAGTCATGAGATCCAAAGCCTCTGTATTCGAGATTATCTACCAGCTTGTGTGACGAACTGGCTCTACTTTGACTACATTCGTAGAGAATCCTAGAAAATTATTGTATTGTTTCTGCAGAAGCACCGCGGCCACTTCATACGCCAATGAAGACTTTTATATTTAGCTGATGGAGAAGTCAGCATGGAAATCCTCAGTAACATCGTTAGTCAAAACTCCCGATTGTTTAAAAAGACTCGACAACGCCGACAACCAGCTGAGAAAACCCATTGAAGCAGAATTTTGAGGTAGGGGGATCCTAAAGTTGGGGATTCAACTGCCAACGGCGAGAATCAAGAGTAAAGTTTCTTATCATAGCTATGAAGGCCATGGACATTACCCTCGGCCTGAGCGCTTGCGGTACGAACTTCAAATCTCACGGTGCCATTGTTCACACCGTCATGCAGCTCTTGTAGGCTCTTAACGCCGATATCCTGGAAAGAGTGTTGAATGCCCGCAATGAGATAAGGAACGAATTTTGTAACTGAGCCACGATCGAGAACGGAGCCAGAAACTCCCTGAGCGACCAAAAGGCGATCGCCCTCGGAGAAGTATCGAGCAGTTCCGGCTGTGTTTGAAGCCTGGCCTTTGCTTCCTCCGCCAGCCTTCTTCTCCTCCATGGCGTCAATACTGCCCATGCCACGATAGGCCTTGACCAATTGGCCTTCACGGCTGACAAAGTACTGGCCAGGTGACTCAGTAGTACCCGCAAGGAGACCTCCCATCATAACGGTAGTGGCTCCCAAAGCAAGTCCCTTGACAATGTGCCCGACATTCTGGATGCCACCATCAGCAATGCAGGGAACACCAAAGCGGGCCGCGAATTGAGTGACACTGTGAACCGCAGCGGCTTGTGGACGTCCCACGGCCATAACCTCTTGGGTTATGCAAGCGCTACCGCTGCCCATTCCAATTCTCAATCCGTCAACGCCAGCAGCAATCAAGGAGGCTGCCTGCTCTCTTGTGACGACGTTTCCACCAATCACATCGATCTCCGGGAAATTCTGCTTTATATATTTGATCATTTCAATTTGGTACATGCTGTTGCCCTGGCTGCTATCCAGAACCACGATGTCCAAACCGGCCTCAACTAGTTTCTTTAGTCGGTCCTTATCTTCAGGGCGAGTGCCAATGGCCGCAGCGCAAATGAGCTGCTTCGAATGAGGCAGCTTAGATGACAATGGATAGTGCAAGTTCTTCATAAGATCAGTCCGAGAAAGAAGGGAAACGAGATTGCCGTTCTCATCGACGATGGGCAGTTTGCCTTTCTTTGAGCGTCGCAATACTTCGTTCGCTTCTGCCAACGTAGTACCAGCAGGGGCAGTTACGAGGTCAGTGGACATTACAGCCGTGACGGGCTCTTCCAAGTTGGTGTGGAACTGGATATCTCGTGAAGTAACGATACCAACGAGCTTGGATCGCAGCGTGCCGTTTTCTGTAGCCAATGTGTTAGATACAGCTGACAAAGAAGAAACGTAGACAAATTGGGTTTTGGATTCTCAGGTTAGATATCCATTTTCTACAAAGCAACTTTCGTTGATTCAGTTGAACGAAAGTTATAAAGATTAAGATTTGATAGCATCATAGAACCTCGCACTAAGTGTCTTGAAGGAAAATTTAAGAGACTCGTACCTGTAACTGGGAATCCGCCAAAATTCCACTGCGCCTTCAATTCTTTGGCTTCCGCAACGGTTGTTTTAGGAGATATGACAACAGGATCCAAGATGAAACCATTCTCGAATCGCTTAACTTTCCTAACCATCTCTGCTTGATCGTCGGCAGAGCAGTTGTGGTGAATGACGCCGAGACCACCAAGGAGTGCCATATGGATGGCCATGGAATGCTCAGTGACGGTGTCCATTGGAGAAGATACCAACGGAGCCTTCAGGGAGATACGCTTTGTGATCGGTGCTTCCAAGGTAACATCGGAGGCAGGAAAGCCTGGCGGAATGACAGCGAGTTAATGCTTTGTCTTCATGCTAGGGAGTAGGGCCCTAAATGATGCGTACCGATGTACCCAGGGAGGACCAAGAAGTCGTTGTAGGTAAGGGCTCCGCGCTTGTTAGAATCGAGCAAATCGCTGATTCCCAGGCCATCATGTCTCTGGTAATCTGCCTTCAAGACGTCCAACGCTTTGGCATAGTCAGGAATTTCTACATTCCCACCCAGGCGCTGGACGGCGCTCCCCGCCGCGTCACCGTTGGAGATAGGCATCACGAGATCGGAAAAAAAAAATTAAAATCTGCCAGCTACGGCCAGGAAATGGATAAACAGGTGATAAAGAAGATACCGTCAACAGAAAATGAAACGTCCTGCTGGCGGGGAGAAAGCAGCTTTCCCAAGGAGAGGAAAAAAAGAGAAGAGAAAGCGAAGCGAGCGAAGCCGGAATTTATTTTTTTTCTGCTGGCGCCAGTGTGGGGTTAGCCAAGCCGCTAGAGGCTTAGCTCCGCTCTTATTGAGACTTCAAGCCACAGCAATCTTTCCACGCACAACACCAGAAGAGCACAGCAATCGCCTGTTGTTGGACGGAAGCTGCTTGACATGCAGATGGACTCCCGGAGCCTTGTATGGCTCATGAGGGGAGAAACGACTGCTGGCCCGTCCCTGCGAGCCCCATTCTCACTGGCAATGCGCTTGTCACTCTCCCTGATCACCACGAAACAGCGGGCTCGGAGCAGGTCACATGACTGGGCTGGTCGGAAGATGGCGACCGAGCGGCGCCTAGCCTCTTTGGGCACTTTGTTTTGATGTTTCCCCCCACGTCAGTCAACAACCAGAAAGCTCTGGATCCTTCACGCTGCAACATCGTGGCTCGTGTTGCATTCCGCCTATCCTAGATTATTGCATTTGTCGAGATTCCGCCTGTCGCATTGCTGTTTTGCCCACAGGGTAGATTGCTCTCGCCTAGCCTTAAAAGTTCTTCCTGACTTCCTACTCCAGGAAATCTCTCCTACCATTGACCTCTCTAGGACATGAGCCGGTATGTGCGCAGTTGAGAGGCATAAATCTCTCTTGCTACTGTGCCCATCTCCTTGCCAGAACCCCCTTCTAGCGAAATGTCCTACAATCTGCCGCTGAAACGCACACAACTGGATTTCTCCCTATCGTCCTCGGGCCCGCTGCGCCACGACTCAAACGCATCAACGAACTCGTCTACATCTTCGACCTACTCAAACTCCTTCGTACCGAGCCGTACCAGTACACTCAGTTCTAGTGGTTCGGGCAGTTATCGACCCGGAACCCCGGATCACAAAATAGGTCGTGATTCCCGTGGTCTCAATGGACGCGGTGAGTTTGAGGGTAGATCGAGCCCGGGAGAAGCATACGAGAATATCCGTCGGTCTTTGCGCCCCCTCCCGCAGGCGCCTAATGTTACCCCTCCAAAACTCAAGAACTCGTCCTCCTACCATGCTCGAAGCCAGACCCTGGCCAGCCCCGTGGCCCACCGGAATATCGGATGCGAACCTCTAAAATGCAACAAGAGCTATGGTTCGGAGCACAAGACCCTTCAAGATGAAGGCCATGAATTACAGCTACAGTCAGCTGTGAATCGTCGCTCGTATCACGCTCGTACCCACTCAAGCCCGAACCCTCCTGTTCTTACAGCTGCTCTTACTGCACCCGAGCTTCAGTCTTTGGGAAGGTCCTCAACGAGACATTTTCGAACATTATCGAGGTTTGCCGAAACCGATAGCGATGAGTTCTCAATTTCAAATTTGGCTCCGTCTGTTGTAGGATTGCAAGGGCGCCGCCAACTAAAGAGAACTGACACAGTGTGTGGGGGTAGGGCAGTTGCGTCTTCAAGAAATGCCAACGCCAACCCATGGCTACAGCGAGATTGGATGGACAAGCAGCGCCAGTTTCTACAGGCCTACGAATACCTCTGCCATATAGGCGAAGCCAAAGAATGGATCGAAGACGTTATCCACAAGCCAATCCCGCCAATTGTTCAACTAGAGGAAGCCCTCCGTGATGGAATCACTCTAGCAGAAGTTGTCCAAGCCTTATATCCAAATCGCATACTTCGGATTTTTCGGCACCCCAAACTACAATTCCGCCATTCCGACAATATTGCCCTTTTCTTTCAGTTTCTCAATGAAGTAGAGCTTCCCGAGGTTTTTCGATTTGAATTGATCGACTTGTATGAAAAGAAAAACATCCCCAAAGTCATTCATTGCATCCACGCATTGTCTTGGCTCCTGTTTAAAAAGGGTATCGTGGACTTTCGAATCGGCAACTTGGTTGGTCAGCTTGAATTTGAGCGACATGAACTTGAACAAACGCAGAGGGGCCTTGACAAAGCTGGTGTCCCGATGCCCAGCTTTTCCGGAATGGGTGAGAGTTTTGGAGCCGAACCTGAACCGGAGCCGGAACCAGTTGAGACTGAGGAAGAAAGAACTAGTCGTGAACTGCACGAGAATGAAGCGGCGATTACCGAGTTACAAGCGCAAACACGGGGCGCCCTTCTCCGGCTAAGACTAGGGAATTTGATGGAGCACCTTTGGGACAATGAAGGACTGCTCATCGATCTTCAATCAAGAATTAGGGGCGACTGGACTAGGCAAATTATGGACTATAGACTCAGTATGCAACGATTCGCCGTGAATTTACAAGCTAGTGCACGCGGTTTCCTCGTTCGACGGAGATGTGAAACCAGGCAAGCTGATTGTGCGGCAGCTGAGACTATTGTGTTAGGACTGCAAAGTTTAATCCGCGCACAGTGGGCTAGACATGATATTCGATATATAAAACTTCAAGCCAGCAAAGCTGAATCTGGCATCAAATTATTCCAGGCAGCAGTACGGGGCGCTTTGGCCCGAAAACAAGCGTACGACCAGTGTGAAGCTACTAGGGACGCCGAACCAGAAGTTGAATACCTTCAAGCAGCTATTCGAGGGATGTTGAAGCGACGTGCATTCCTACAAGATACTATGGACCTTCAAGATGCTGCTCAGGAAGCACGGCTTCTTCAAGCAGCAGCTCGAGGGATGTTGAAGCGACGCGCATTCTTACAAGATACTATGGACCTTCAAGATGCTGCTCAGGGAGCACGGCTTCTTCAAGCAGCAGCCCGAGGAATGATAAAGCGGCGGGCTCTTTCCCAAGATGCTTCAGATCTTAGGAACAGTGCAGATCAAGACACTCGGCTTCTTCAGGCAGCCATCCGAGGAATGTTGACGCGCCACGGAATTCTGCGAGACATGTCGGATCTTGAGCAAAATGTTGAAGCAATAATCAGTACTCAAGCGGTAGCGAGGGGTTTTGCAGTCAGGAAAACGAAGCTGGAAACCGAAAACGCGTTAGAAAGCGCTCTGGATACTTGGCTAGCACTCCAATCATATACGCGCGGATCTGCCTTGAGAAGAAAATTGCAGGAACAGCGCAAACAGCTTCAAGCCCAGACGCCATCCGTCATAGACCTTCAATCTGCGGCTAGGGCTATGGCTCTTCGCAAGGCAGTCATTGCAACGGCTTCAGAGTTGAAGTCCGAGGAAAACGCGATCACCCTATTTCAAAATTCGATAAGAGGATTTTTGACACGACGCCAACTTGATCAGCTTCGTCGAGACCTTTTGGCACAGGCTCCAATTACATGCCAGCTTCAAGCGCTTGCTAGGGCTGCTATGTTCCGTATCGATATTGGAAACCTCCTCACTCAATTAGACGAAAATACAGAGGAAATTGTACAATTGCAGGCTCTATCAAGAGCTATGTTACTAAGAATCGAGGTTGGCAACGCTCTTACCGAGCTTGAGGGCGAGGAGGAGGTTATTATAGATTTCCAATCGCGCATTAGGGGCTTTTTGGTGCGACGCCAGTTTGCGGAGAAGCAGAAATTCTATCGAGAAAATATGGAAAAAGTTATCAAGGTTCAAAGCTTTGTGAGGGCGAAGATCCAAGGGGAAGCATATCGAAGTTTAACAAGCGGAAAAAACCCTCCAGTTGGAACAATCAAAGGATTTGTACATCTTCTTAATGACAGTGACTTCGATTTCGATGAGGAAATCGAGTTTGAACGACTACGGAAAACGGTCGTGCAACAGGTCCGACAAAACGAGCTGGCAGATCAGTATATTACCCAGTTAGATATCAAAATTGCCCTCCTGGTTAAGAACAAGATTACATTGGACGAGGTTGTGCGGCATCAGAAGCACTTTGGCGGCCATGTTGGCACCGTCTTACCCAATGCGGATCTATCTTCCAAAGACCCGTTTGATTTAAAAGCGCTCAACAAGACCTCAAGAAGGAAACTCGAGCACTATCAGGAGCTCTTTTTCCTCCTTCAAACGCAGCCTCACTATTTGGCAACCATTTTCCGAAGGCTAAGGGAGCTGGCAACACCTGAACGCGAGAATGAAAGAATCAAACACTTGGTAATGGGCCTATTTGGTTATGCCCAGAAAAGGAGAGAAGAGTATTATCTTATCAAGCTACTCGTGAGGTGCATCAAAGAAGAAGCCGACATGTGTACTTCTGTACAAGATTATGTTCGGTGCAACTCTTTCTGGAACAAACTCTTTAGCGCTTATACAAAATCTCCGAGAGACCGGAAATATATGAAAGACCTTTTAGGTCAGGTTGTTAAGGATAATATCATTGATAACCCAGAACTGGATTTAGAAAGCGATCCAATCCAGATTTATCGGTCCGCTATCAACAATGAAGAGCTTCGCACTGGGCAGCGAAGTCGTCGGCCACCAGATGTACCCAGAGAGCAAGCCATCAAAGACCCTGAAACGCGAGCAACATTCATTCGAAATTTACAAGACCTTCGCGATATTGCAGATCAAGTCTTTAATTCATTGGAAGAAACCCTCCACCGGATGCCATATGGAGTTCGTTTCGTCGCTAAACAGATGTATGAGTGTCTCATCACAAAGTTCGAGGGCGAAGATCGAGGATATCTTTTACAGGTGGCGGGCCAATGGGTGTGGAAGAACTATCTCCAACCTGCTATGATGGAACCTGAAAAGTCCGGTGTTGTAAACCACGCTCTTACCCAGGAGCAAAAGCGCAGCCTAGGCGAAATTAGCAGAGTGATGGCTCAAGTCGCATCCGGTCGATTGTTCGGGAGTGATAACGTTTATCTCCAGCCATTGAATACGTATATTGGGGAATCGATTCAGCGCCTCGGGGCCATTTGGGGAAACCGTAAGTTCTGGCGGATGTGTTGTATGGAGAACGAAATGTGCTAACATGCATGCAGTAATCACTGTCCAAGATGCCGAAGCTCACTTTGAGATTGACGAGTACAATGACCTATACGCTAAAACAAAGCCAACTCTTTACATTAAAATGTCTGATATATTTTCCATCCATCAGCTTGTTGCCGGAGAAATATCACACATTTGTGGGACAAGACGACATTTTACGGGAAATTATTCGGGACCTTTGGTAGTGTGAAGAGCAATGAAAACGAGCTCATGAGCGTCAGCTCGTCGGAAATCAGTCTCACCTTAACACCCAAGCTTCATAACGTCGAAGGTAGGCTTGATTCGACTTAAAACTAGCGATTCAAATATACTGACCAATGTTAGACCCCGATGCCGAAATCAAAGCACTTCTGATGGAGACAAAGCGGTGCATTCTTTACATTATTCGAGTCCAGTCCGGCGCAAGCCTTATGGAAATCTTGGTGAAGCCTCCCACCCCGGAAGATGAAGAACGATGGGAAACGCTCGTTCGCGAAGAATTTTCTCATAACAGCCGGAAACGCGCAGCATAC